TCATAAAATCACAATGAGCAGATCTCTCACTCAAGCCGCCAGAGTCCTTAGAAACTCCTCTGCTGCTCGCTCCGTCTTTGCTTCCTCAATCAGATTCTACTCTGCTTCAGCACTCCCCCTTAAGACCCCCATCACTCTCCCCAATGGCATTAAATACGACCAACCAACTGGTCTCTTCATCAACAATGAGTTTGTCGCCTCTCAATCCGGCAAGACCTTTACCGTAGAGAGCCCTTCTACCCAGCACACCGTCGCTGAGGTTTATGAGGGTTCCGAACAAGACGTTGAAATTGCTGTCAAGGCTGCTGAAGAGGCTTTCAAGTCTTGGTCTCAAACCCCTGCCTCCGAGCGTGGCCTTCTTCTCAGCAAGCTCGCTGACAAGATTCACGAAAATGCTGAGCTCCTCGCTTCAATTGAGTCCTTTGATAACGGTAAGGCTCTCACCCTTGCCCGCGGTGATGTTGCTCTCGTCGAAAAGGTTATTCGTTACTATGCTGGTATTGCAGACAAGATCTACGGCACCCAAATCCCTACCAATGACGGCTTTTTCACCTACACTGCCCGTGAACCTCTTGGTGTTTGCGGTCAAATTATTCCTTGGAACTTCCCTCTTCTCATGTGGTCTTGGAAGATTGGCCCTGCCCTTGCCACTGGTAACACTGTTGTCTTGAAGACTGCTGAGTCCACTCCTCTTTCCGCTCTCGTCGTCTCCCAGTTTGTTCAGGAAGTTGGCATCCCTGCCGGTGTTGTTAACATCATTTCTGGCTTTGGCGCTACTGGTGCTGCCATTGCCAAGCACCCCAGAATTAAGAAGGTTGCCTTTACTGGTTCTACCGCTACTGGCCGCTACATTATGAAGGCTGCTGCTGAGTCTAACCTCAAGAAGGTCACCCTTGAGCTCGGTGGTAAGTCCCCCCACATCATCTTTGATGACGCTGATCTTGACACTGCCGTTGAGGTTGCCGCTCTCGGTATCTTTTACAACTCTGGTGAAGTCTGCTCTGCTGGCTCCCGTCTTTACGTCCAGGACACTATCTACGATGAGTTTATTGCTCGCCTGAAGGCCCGTGCTGAGGCCATTTCTGTTGGTGACCCATTTGACAATGAGACCTTCCAAGGTTCTCAGACTTCTAAGGCTCAGCTTGACAAGATTCTTAAGTACATTGAGCTCGGCAAGGAGGAAGGTGCTCGTCTTGTCACTGGTGGTGAGCGTCTTGACCGTCCTGGTTACTTCATTGCTCCTACTGTCTTTGCTGATGTCAAGGAGGATATGCGCATTGTCCGTGAAGAGATTTTCGGCCCTGTCATTGTTGCCACCAAGTTCTCTTCTGTTTCTGAGGTTGTCGACCTTGCCAACAACTCTGAGTACGGTCTTGGTGCCGGTCTGCACACTGAGGACATTAACAAGGCCATTGATGTTGCTGGCAGAATCCACTCTGGCTCTGTTTGGGTCAACACTTACAATGCTTTCCACGAGGCTGTTCCCTTTGGTGGTTTCAACCAGTCTGGTATGGGCCGTGAAATGGGTGAGCAGAGCATTGACAATTACACTCAGACCAAGGCTGTCAGAATCAAGATCAACCCCAAGAATTAGACAAGTGTTTATATAAAAGAAAATATTTTTTATTTGTAATGACTTATGATTTTTTTAAAATAATAAAAATAAATTAAATTAAAAAGGGAATATTTAAAAAAATTGTAAAAAAATAAAAAAACTAAAAGCAAAAGATTTCGGATAATCTTTTTTTTTTAGAGTAAAGTAGTTTGAATTTGTTCCGGGGGAAAAGACGGGCAAGTTTAAAAAAGCAATAGAAGTTTCAACAGTTTAACAAAAAGATGAAGACGAAGATGAAGATGGGGGTCACCTACTAAAGTTTTCTATAGTTGATTATTTATTATTATCAAAACTTTCACACTTCCCTCCCTCCTTCTTTTCCTTACGCAATCGTGCCCATAAGTTACACACATGTACAATCTTTTAAGTATCTCTTTCTTTCTCGCAATATCCACGGAGTGCAGCAACCACGCTGCCATAACGGCCCGAGCACTAGAATTATTATTATTATTATTATTATTATTATTGTTATTGTTGTATATATTTTGGGTACTTGGAACCATCTACATTTAAGATAAAAAAAGAAGAAGACATTTCAGGTAATTCCGAAAAGAAGAAAAAGAAAACGATTATATATATATATATATATATATAAGAAATAAATAAATAAATAAATAAAGAAAATATTGTATGAGAACTCCGATTATATAACTGAAATAAAACAAAACAAAACATTATTAATAAATAAAATAAGAAACAAAATGATTTTTCAAAAAAATAGTACTGGATACTTTTTTTTGTTTTTTTATAAAAAGAGAAATTGTGAATTACTTTTATTTTTTTCCGTTATAACTTAATTTATTTGTTCAAGTCTTGACATTCTCCGGGACAAAAAGAAAAGAATATATATATATTTCTATATAAATTACTAATTACTTTTGTTGGTAAATTGTTTTTTTTTTTTTTTTTTTTTTTTTTAAAAAAGATTTAAAAAAAAAAAGTCATTCATTTATTCCTTTTATATTTATTCCAACCGGGGATTATTTATTTATATATTTTAAAATTTTTATTTTTTATTTTTCAAAATCCGGGGAAACAACAACCCCTCCCTTCCTTCTCCTTCTCCAGTATTATTGTTATATATATATATATTTTTTTTAATGCACAAGACTAACTGCTTAAAAAATTTTTTTTTTCTTTCAAAAACCAACTTTCTCAACTTTGGGTTATATAAAAAAAATAATAATAATAATTAAGTACTGTGGCAGTCACTCAAAAAAAAAAATACTTTATATTTAAAGTATTTTTTAAAAAAAAACAAAAAAAAAAATAGTTATATTAAAATTGTATTTATATAATAATTATATTACCTCTGGAGGTGACATCAATAAAAGTAAGGTAATGTAAAATACAACCAAGACTTTTATTAAATGCACATTAAACACACAAGTATTTTTTCTAGTAGGATTTACCGGGGAAAAAAAAAAAAAAAAAAAAAAAAAACTCTTCAGAATCCAAGTTAACTGGATATGTATAAAAGAAATTATAGAAAATTATATAAACTTATAAAAAAATATACAGGAAAAGAAAGATATTCTTCATGAATTAATCATAGTCGCATAATTATAAAAAATCAATTAAAAATAAAGAAAAATAATAGTCCAGATGATATTTAGCGTAAATGATTTTATGCCCCCTCTTTTTTTTTTTTTTTTTTTTTTTTTTTTTTTTTAAAATGTGATTTTAATTCGTATAAAAGGTTCAGGGCTTTTGTGTACTAGAAAGAAAGAAAAAAAAATATCAAACCCTTCGTCTCAAAACGTCTCCAAAGTTCAATGAATAGTCATATGAAAGTTCTTAATCTTCATCTTATTTCTAAGAAGGAAACGAAAAGCCACCAATGCCCCCACCCACGGCTGTGGGAGCAGACGGTGCGCCTCCAAGACCGGCCTGGAACGCATCGTTTTCCACAATCGGGTTACGCGACGTGCGCGACACGGGCGACGGTGGCACAAACCCGGACTGTGCAGATGACATTGACCAAAAACTGTTTCCATAGCCACTGACATTACTAGAATTGGTATTGGAAGTCATGGCAAACGAATTGTACCCGACAAAATTCGATGACAATGAAGAAGAAGAAGAAGAAGAAGAAGGTGTGCGCAAATGACGGAACCCAGGCTCCCCGTAGCCTTCGTACCCATTACCAGTACCGGGCCAGCACCCCCACGCACCAGAAGAAGAAGAAAAAGATGCAGGGGCAGCAGCGGGTGCTAGCAAAGAAGATGATGATCCAACACCATTGTTCCCGGCTAAGCTTGTGTGGCGCATAATCTGGAACAGTTCGGCCACAGCTTCACTGGTCGGCGAGTACAACTGCATCGGCTGCAACTGTGCCAAGTCACTTGTCTGCACATGCAGACCTTCACTGGGGCCCGCGCCTACCACACCCGCGCCGGCACCAACACCGGATCCTGTCCGGTGGTGGAAGCCAATTCTTCTTTCAGGTGTCTGTGGAGGTGGCCCAAGGTCTGCGGGAAGAAAAAGTGACACGTCTGTAGATCCTACGAGATCCTGGCCGCTCAGCCTGATGTTTTGAATATCCCAGTGCTCAAGCAGTGAAGCTTTACGGGACCGAGACCGAGAGTGTGTAGTGGCCCGCCGTCGGCCGGTATTTAGTCCTGTAGATATTGGGGTTATGGGTGCCGCTATTGTGCTGGTAATATTATTAGTGTTGTTGTTGTTGTTGTTAATGCTGTTGCTACTACTGCTGGTTCCTGAAGATCCGTCTGCGTATTCTGTGCTGGTGCTTGAAAAACTGGGGAAAGGTATTTCGTCTGCAAATTCTGCAGACGGTGCACGCACATGAGTACGCGTAACGGCGTTACCAGGTCCCACCCGTTCTATCTTCCCTCGTTGGGAACTGTTGATCGTTAACTGCGCCAGTTCGCTACATACCACGTTATGCTGTTCGTTTAATCTACTACTATTACTGCCCGCAGTTTGCATCTGGATTTGTGGTTGTGATGGTTGTGGTTGTGGTTGTGGTTGCTGGTACTGCTGCGGCTCGAAAAACGGCCCTCCCTGAACTATCATGGTAGGATCATTATTGGTGCTAGCTGGTGAAGGTTGCAGTTGCGGAACAAAAGCCTCAACAGCTATGATGGATTTCTGGTGACGCCGTGCACGCACAGGTCTCGGAGCCACAAGCGAGACTGCTGGGGCTGCTGTGATGACTATCGGTGCCAGCAGTCCTGCTGCCGGAGGATCTGTGGCGGAGCCTACCGGTCCGCTGGGAAAAGGGGAAGAGGAATACTGGAAAGAAAGCAAAGGAGAAGAGCTTCGAAACATGTCGGTATTGTTTCCAGAAAACGAAGGTTCTGCAGACTCTGTATGGGACAGAGAATAGTGGTCGGAGATCCACGAGGATGAAGATGGTGCTGCGTTTGATTGCACGGGAGCAGCTGTAGCAGGATGGGTTTGTTGAGCCTGAAGTGGGAACTGGAACTGCTGCTGGTGCTGGTGCGACATTAGGTAAAGAGAAAAAGAGAAAAAGAGAAAAAGAGAAATGACTTCAGAATAAGAAATAAAAAAAAAGCTAAGAAGCTGGAAATATTATGGTAAATGTATATACAGGTAAATAAGGTGTTTAGATCAAATTGAAAATGGTGATAATGGATTTTATTTTATTTTTTTTTTTCGATTTTTTTTTTTTTCAAAAGAAGGGATGGCCAAAGGAAGGGGCCAATTTTTTTTTTTTTTTTTTTTTTAAATGGTTTGTAACTTTTTTCCCAAGTGGCCACCAAATTATGACGTAAAACGCATAATCCAAGCAATCAAATTGGATCCCTCAATTTGAATAGAGTTTCTTGTAATTATTCAATAATAAAAATAAAATTTATCACTTAGAGTAAAACGATTAAAATAATTAAAAAAAAAAAAAAAAAAAACTAATACCAATTTCCAAGAGTACCATTTATAAAATTTATATTCATATTTTTTTCTTGTTCCTCAATGTATTTATGGATTCTCAGTAGCAGGCTTCTTCTTCTTAAGCTCCAAAGGCTTGCCAGTGATGCGGAAGTACAGATCCTTAACATCGTCAGTAGTCGTCTCAAAGTGCGAAGTAGCATCATATGACTTGGAAATGTACACATGGTCCTTAGTACCATCGTCAATGGGCTCATAGAGCTCTGCAATTCCCATAAGAACGTCCTTGGTAGGTCCCAGCAGTTTAAACGCAGGTTCAATTTCAACGTGGGGGGCGTCTGTCTCAATGACGGTCGAAATGATGGCCAGGTAGTGGCCCTTGGAGCACACAAAGTGAGACGAAGACAAAATGGCAATGTAAATGTCATGCTTGCGCTTGACCTGGTTCTGGGGAATAATGATTTGCAACGAATCCAGATTCTCAGTGTTGGGGACTGGGTGCTCCAAAATCACCATGGCACGAATCACACGCTCACCAGTCTTCTTGACCTTGTCAGGGAAGTATGTGGGATCACCAATGACAATCTTGGTCCTGGCCACCTCGTCACCTGAGCGCACACCACACACCTTGCCATCGGCATCGTACTCAAGCCCGTCAATAGGCTTGTTGAGCATATAGGTACCACCATAAACGGCCGACATGCGGGCAAACGCCTGCGGGAGCTCGCCGAGACCGTAGAGAGGGTAAATGTAGGGAGACTTGCCGTAGAGTGCAACCGAGTGCAAGTACATGATAACACGCTCAATTGTCTCGCGAGCGGGCTCTGTCAAGTATTCGTCGGTTGTCCAAAGGGCCATGGCGTGGCCGATAAAGTCGCGGGTACCGGGCTCGAGGCCAAACTTGAGGTAGACCTCAGTCATGGTATTCTTGTCCAAATCAAGGCCAGAGTGTGTGCTCTTGTCCTCTTCCTTGTAGTTGCCGACAAACTCGAAAAAATTGCGCGCTCGGCGCTTTTCAAACAGGCCCATGAGCGGACTCTTAATGGCCTCCATCTGGGTGGACGGCACCTTGGCAATGCGGCCATCGCGGTAAACATAGGAACCGGAGATTTGGGTAAACTCAAGATACGGGAGAACTTCAGTGTTAGTCAGAATTTTTGTCAGCTCACCGCCAGCCATGACAAACTTGGGGATGAGATCAACGTTCCAGTCGCGATCACGGCCGAGGCTCTCTTCGGCCTGCTTCCCAGGGCGGAACTTTTTGTAAAGTTGTGTGAGATTAAGCGAAGCACTCTCACTGTGGGATTAAATAAAGTTAAGTTAGTTGCTGTTGCTGGGAGAATAATAAACGAAAGTATAGATTTGTAGGGTATCAAATCAAGCTGACAAGCTAGCAAATATAGCAAGCAAATAAAAAAAAAAATACTCACCCGCCATAGTGGTCTTGTCTGTCAATGTGAAGGACCTTCTTTCCCTCGACACTCATGATGCCGGAAAGAATGCACTCGGTGAGACCTAAGTGATATTAGCAAGTGATTCATTTGATATTAAAGATAGAGAAAATTAAATAAAAATCAAGCTTACCGGTGCCTATATCAAAAAATCAAAAAAAAAAAAAAGTTAGTAATGATAAATTTTGTAGGTGATAAAGAATGTGGTGGCAACATTGATTGATTGATAAGGAGATTTGTGGTTGGTGATGGTACATACCCAGGACAATAACGTCGTATTCCTCATCCATTGTGAACTAAGAAGGAGAATTTAATGAGTGGTTATGATAAAGAATTAAAAGACAAGCTTTTTTAAATGGAAATGAAGATTAAAAAAAAGTGATTGGAAAAAGGAAAGGAGGCAAATAAAGGAAAGAAGGGGGAAAAAAAAAGTTTGCGAGACACAAAGCCGGTGGTAGTGGTGGTGGTGGTACTTGGCTGGGGTTACGGCAGGTAAGGAACCCAAAAAAGCGCCAGCGAGGCCGAGGATAGCTGGCGGTTTGGCCACTCAACAGCCGGGTAACCACTATTTTTTTTCCTTAAAGAAGTAAAATAGGACCAAGTTTTAAATAATAAGTCACAAGTTCTTTTTTTACAATATTCAACTTTTTAATATTCAAAAAAAATTCAACAAATACTTTTCAAAAATACAACTTTTTATTTTTTTCTATTTTTTTTTTTTTAAATCTTGGCCTTCTTCTTGGAAGAAAACTCAACAAGAGGTCCTTCCTCATACATCTCGCTCGTCTCCGGGTTAAAAATGCGGCGGCAGTCTGGTCTCTTAATCTTCATGGTAGGTGTCAGAGTGCCATTGTCTGCACTCAAGGGCTCAATAAACAGCTTGATATTCTTGATGACCTCAAAACCCTTAAGCCCAGCGCTCTGCACGTGGCTGTTGATTTCGGTCAAGACGGCCTTGCGGACATCCTTGTTAGAAAAGGTGGCCTGAACAGCCTCCAGATCCTTAGGGTTGACATTCAAACCCAACTTGGATTGCAAGAGAGCAGCATATGGCTCAGGAGTAATACCCACAATGCCCACAAGGTAGGTCTCGAAAGAGTTACCGTCAACAAAGACCTGGGAAATGAGGGAAGAGCGAGACGAGTAAATGGTCTCAATTCTTTCAGGAGCAACATACTCACCCTGGGCCAACTTGAACATGTTCTTGACACGGTCAATGATGTAGATGCGGCCCATGTCGTCAATCTTGCCAACGTCGCCAGTGTGGAACCAGCCGTCCTCAGTAACAGCCTTGACAGTCTCTTCTTCGTTTTTGTAATAGCCGTGGAACATTTGAGGGCCGCGCAGCATGATTTCGCCACGGGGGTGGGGCTGGTCGTGGATGGAGTAGCCAAGCTCAGGCAAGTCACGCAGGCACACCTCGCACGCGGGAGTTGGGGGGCCCACAGAGCCGGATTGGTTATCATCAACAGCCAAAATGGAAATACCGGCAGCGGTTTCGGTCAGACCGTAACCCTCGCAGAACTGTACAGAAAGAGCACACTTGATAAAGTCAATGTTCTCAGCAGCAAGAGGAGCAGATCCAGAAAAGACCTTGCGAGTGTTATCAAACCCAAGAAGCTTGCGGACCTTGTCAGACCAGACCTTGTCGAGCTCAGGGTGAGTGACTTGGCCAGTAGTCTTGAGGTTCTTAAGCTTTTCGGCATAGGCAGCACGAGTAACCTCGCCGATCTTGCCAGGAGCCTCAATAGTGGATGTGCGGATACCGACACACATCTTGTTGAAGATACGGGGGACACCAACCATGGCTGTGGGTTTGAGGGTGCGCAGATCGTCAAAGAGTTGGCTAGCATCGGAGTGCAAGAAACCAAGTCGAGCACCAGAAGAAAGCATACCGTGAACATTGACACGGTCGAAAACGTGTGCCAGAGGAAGGTTGGACATGAAGGTGACAGTCTCGTCATCGCTAAAAAAGTCATTGTACTTGAACATGGTCACGGCTGCCGCCATGGTGGAGTGGTGGAGAATGACACCCTTAGGGTTGCCAGTGGTGCCTGAGGTGAAGTTGATGGTGAAGACATCGTTAGACTTGGGCTTGCGGTGTTCGCGGGGGATGTGCTTTCCGCTATCCTCGACATCTGTGAAAGAGTAAAGCGAGACGCCGACAGACTTGGCCCAGGCGTTGAGGACATCGCGCTTGGAGTGGCCCGGGTGCTCCCAGTACTCCGGGTCCTCAAGGTCGTTAAATGACACAATGGCTTTGAGGGTAGGCAGCTCATTCTTGGAGGCGAGTAGGGCTGGGATGTGGGCAATGGATGCAAAGATGATTGGCATGTTGGTAAGGTTAACAATGTACTTTGAAGCCTCAGGGCCCAATGTGTCGTAAAGAGGAACAGGTGTGAGAGCAGTTCTGCTGCAGGCCAGATCGGTAATGACCCAGTTGCGGCTGTTTGGTCCGTAAAGACCAACAGTGTATTGTTCCTTGTGGGGCTCAAGGCCTGAGTGCTTTTCGACGATGTTGATGATACCGGAGGCCACATGGTTGACACGCTCGTTGATTTCGGAGTAAGTTTGGAAGATATAGGGCCCCCAAGTCTTTGAAGACTGATCATGGGTGCGTTCGCCGAGACACAGCGCGTTGGGCTTAGCGTTCACGACAGCTTGGAAGGTGGAATCGACTGTATCGAGGTCTGGGTGAACGACCGAGATGAGACGGTCTGGGGAGTGGGCGTTTCGGTAGACTGCTGAGAAGCCTGGTTTTTCAGATCCAGGGATAGGGATGGCTTGCTTTTTGCCTGGTTTTGCACGGATCGTTTCGATTCGAACAATCAAACCTTTGTCGGAGCTATTAGGGTTGATCTTTTTGTCCCAGACTGGAGGATAGACTGGGATTCTTTTCTGAACATGTTCAGGGAAGGTGGAGCCTGGAAGAACCATTTTTTAAATTTAAGATTTATGATAGAGGTTTAGAATAATAAAACTATTAATTTCTTTCTAATAAAAAAAAACAAAAAACAACAAAAAGGAAACAAAAAGAAAGAAAAGATTTTAAAAAAACTTGGATTGAAATTTCCCAAAAAAAACTTGGGGATGCCAGTCTGTATTTAAATTAAAAAAAATTCACATCAATACCAACTGCCCCTCCAATCCCTTTCTCTCTCTTTCTCTCTCTTTCTCTCTCTCCCCGCTTTTTTTTTTCATCATATATCAAATAAGTTTCCCCATATCTATTTGGGAAACCACAGGCCGCTGGGCGTCGTCTGTCTACTGGGCGTGGATGGGTATTGGAGTACGGTGCGGTGGCTACAGGAAGGCCCCTTGAGCCAGTTGAGTGTTACCAGTGGACTACGTGAAGACGCAAAATGCGGAGAATCTGGCGGAGTTGCTCCGGGCTTTTGTAACAGTCCAGCCATGCCCTGTGGCTCTACTGGTACTTAAAAAGCACTTTCTACCATGGAAATCGCCAATTACAGAAATCTGTCGCTTCTATCTGACCTTAAAGCCCTTTGTATTTTATATTGTACCCTTTTTAGTAACAACCGCTAAGCTGAAAAAAAAAAAGGTCCTCGGCGGGTCGCCCTGGAAGCTCGGCTTAAACTGCTTTTGGTCCCTCGGCATTAAAAGCCCATAAATAAATAATACGAACTGGAAACTCGTCCAACGGCCACAACCATACAAAAATAAAATAAATAAATAAATAAAAAATTCACCCCCGGGACTTAAAGCTCAAAAGGACCTAAGGTCCCGACCGGTGTCATGCCTAGCATCAAGACCGTAGGCATTAATCAAAAACATACGATAGAATTGTACCGTTGGTCCTTCCAGTATCGAATCCAAGATCAAAAAAAAAAAAAAAAAATTAAAAAAATTCCCATAAAATAATTCTTTTAAATAATCCGGGCTTTGACAAATTTTTTCCATAACTGACCGCGGTCCCAATAAAGTATATTTGCCTATAACCGTTTATCCAGCTATTCTCTGCCTGCTGGAATTTTTTCTTTTTTTTTGACTTCCTTTGGCTCCGAAGTCTCCGAGTCGGCACATCTTAGATCAAAGACTTCCTTTTGACCGATATCTCCAAATGGTAACTTCCGGATAAGATGGTTAGAATATCCATCTTATCCTTTTTTTTAGACCTATTAGTAGACATATATATAATAAACATTTCTCTACATTTTACTTTTTAACATACTGCACTTTTCCTTTTTTTCCACCCTTTAGATTTTATTCTTGTTCTGTGACAAATCCAACAATGGACCCTCTTGGTACATCTCGCTTGTCACGGAATTAAAATAACGACGACAGTCGGGCCGCTTAATCTTAAGCGTCGGTGTAAGTGTACCATTAGCCGGACTCAAAGGCTCAATAAACAACTGCACATTCTTAATCAACTCAAAACCCTTAAGCCCAGCACTCTTAATATCCTGCGTAATTTGTCTCAGCACCTCCACTCTAGCATCCTTGCGTTTAAACGACGCTGTCAGCGCATCAACGTCTGTCGGAGACACTTCCAGGTTCAACTTATTCTTGAGCAGCGTACAATAAGGCTCTGGATTAACACCAATCACTGCAACAAGGAATATCTCAAATGAGTTACCGTCAATGAAAACTTGCGAAATAAGTGATGAAGCAGACGAATAAAAGGCCTCGATTCTCTCCGGAGCAACATACTCGCCTTGTGCCAACTTAAACATGTTCTTGACGCGATCAATAATGTAAATACGGCCAATATCGTCAATCATGCCCACATCACCCGTGTGGAACCATCCATCAGGCTCAAGAGCCTTAACAGTCTCCTCCTCATTCTTGTAATACCCATGGAACACTTGCGGCCCACGAAGCATAATCTCACCGCGTGGGTTCGGCTTGTCGTTTATCGAGTACCCAAGTTCAGGCAAGTCACGCAAACACACTTCGGTCGTGGGCGTGATGGGACCCACAGACCCAGAATGGTTATCATGAGTATTAGACACTGAAATACCACTTGTAGTCTCAGTCAACCCATAGCCCTCGGAAAACTTGATGCCCAGTGCGCATCTCATCAAGTCAATGTTCTCAGCAGCCAATGGTGCAGACCCTGAGTTGAGCACCTTAGCGTTTTCAAACCCAAGCGACTTGCGGAGATTGTCGGTCCAAACCTTATCGTACTTAGGGTGTTTGCTCTCACCAGTCGCACGTAGATGCTTGATCTTGGCCTCAAATGCTTCCCTAGTGATCTCACCAATCTTTCCAGGTGCCTCAATGGTTGATGTACGAATACCGGTGCACATTTTGTTCCAAATACGAGGAACGCCGCACACCAAAGTGGGCTTGAGCATAACCATGTCTTCAAACAATTTAGTAATATCACCACGAATGAACCCTACCTTGATGCCTGAAGACAACATCCCGTGTATGTTGCAGCGCTCGTAAATATGTGCTAGAGGCAAAAACGAAAGATAGGCGTCAGTATCAGCTTGGTCGAAAAAATCATTGTATTTGATGATGGTCACGCCAGCTGCAATAGCAGAGTGACGAAGAATAACGCCCTTGGGGTTGCCAGTGGTGCCCGAAGTAAAGTTGATTGTAAAGATATCGTCTGCTGTGGGCTTGCGGTGTTTACGAGGAATATGCTTGCCGCTATCCTCAACATCTGTAAAAGAATAAAGAGTCACGCCAACAGACTCAGCCCAGGCATTGAGAACGTCACGCTTAGAGTGACCAGGATGTTCCCAGTATTCGGGATCTTCAAGTTCGTTGAGTGAAACAATGACCTTAAGTGTTGGCATTTCCTTCTTGGCTGACAACAAGTAAGGAATATGTGCAATAGACGCAAAGATGATGGGCATGTTGGTCAAGTTGACAATGTATTTTGTAGACTCCGGGCCCAGAGTGTCGTACAAGGCAACAGGAGTTACCGCAGTTCTATTTGCTGCAAGATCCGTAAGCACCCAGTTACGACTGTTAGGACCATAAAGACCAACCGTGTACTGTTCCTTGTGAGGGTCCTGGTGGGCATGTTTTTCAACCAAGTTGATGATACCTGAAGACAAGTGTGAAACTCGTTCGTCAATTTCTGAGTAGGTTTGGAAAGTGTATGGCCCCCAAGTTTTTGTGACTTGGTTGTACTGGCGCTCGCCAAGGCACAATGAGTTGGGATTGGCCTTTACTGTTGCAGAGAAAAGATCATCGGTACAGCGTAGATTTGGGTGCACCACAGACACGAGCTTCTTGGGGTTATGTGCATTGCGATACACAGCCGAGTACCCAGGCTTTTCGGAACCGGGCAATGCCACAGCCTGCTTCTTGCCAGCAACAGCAGTAATAGTTGTGATAGTGTTCATAAACTCGGGGCCCTTAGGGTCCACACTATCATCCCACTCAACAGGAAATGTGGGGATTCGCTTTTGGACATCTGGGGTAAAGTTTGATCCAGGAAGAACCATTGTTGAAGTATGTTGTTATAGAAAGAAAGTGAGAATAGCTAAAGGAGTGTTGAAGATTTAAAAGATTATTAAAGAAAGAAGATAAATATTAATAGAAAAGAAATGAAAAAAAAAATTTAAAAAAAAATGAAAAATTGGTCTGATATTTATAAAATATTGGTTGAGTTGTATCGAATTGATATGGAATCTTTCTGTTGCGGGGGTTCCATTTGGTCGCACAATAGACACTTTTTTTGACCCCACACAAAGTCCAAAATTTAACCCACAATGGAGATCAGATCCTCGGTTCTTTTTTTTTTTTCTTTAAAAAAACAATCATTTAAAAGGTCTTTTAACTAAAAGTTGAAAATTTTATTCCGTTGTGAAAAGACTTTGCAGAATGACAAGTTGATCTTGAATCAATTGTTCCATTGAAAATGACACATTCAATGCCTCAATACTTGAATTTCAATTTTTTTTTTATTAATGCTATTGAAATGACTTCTTTTATATATATATATATATATATATATTTTTTTAGAATTTCCATACAAAAAAAAAACATAAATAAATTTTAAAAAAGCTTCTTCGTTTAATCGACTAAGGTCCCATTGTGGGGTAAAGTTATGGATTTAATCAACATTTTCCCGCACTCAGAAGAGGAGGGGACAAGTTTTGCTAACAAAAAGTCTTCGCTCACTCCCCCACATTAAAAGAATTATTTTTCTCCAACCTCTCACTTTAAGCCGCAAAGTGCTGTTTTGATCTTTAATATTTGTTATGAAAGCTATTTACTTAACACATATGAAAAATAATAATTTTAAACCCTAACCCAAGTGAGTCATTTAGTCGGATCGGTCCGAAACATTCTCCAGCATTTTTCTTTTTTTTTTTTTTTTTTTATTTCACTTATTTATATGAAAAACTCCAAAATACTCCAAACATCTAAATTTCATTCTCTCGAACCCAAATTAAACAGAAAAAAATAAAAAAAAAAATGTCAAAGCAATTGCCAGTTATCAAACTGGAAAACTGCCTTGTCCGACCTCTTATGGATAAGGTTTCCAAGCCTTTGTTCCCTAATCCAATCAATCTCACCATTAACCCCAACGAACGCTGGGCAGTCACTGGGCCTCGCAAACTTGACCTTCTTAGCGTCATTGGCGCAAAACACATCCCAACACCTGCTCTCTCCCGTACATACCCCTTCTTGGAAAACTCTATTTGGCCTTCCCAAGCCATTCAGCTTGTTGAGTTCAAAGGTTCTGTTCTTGCTACTCATCTTTCCGCTCGCTACGAACACTTTCGCGATGAATTCGATATCCCTTTAAGCGAATACCTGGGCCAAACATTTGGAACCCAGGCAGGCCCAAATAAAGACAAAATTGAACATGCCATGAAAGCCCTCAAGCTTGATGAATTCCATAACCGTTGGATTGTCGGTCTCAGCAATGGCCAAATGCGCCGTGCCCGTCTAGCAAAAGCTCTTCTTAAGGAACCCCGTCTTTTGCTCATTGACGAGCCCTATCTTGGTCTCGACCCTCCATCCCGTAAGATTCTTTCTGAAATTCTTGGTGCTCTTCCTCCTAATCCCCATGTTGTTCTTGGACTCCGCATTCAAGACGAATACCCCTCTTGGATTACCCACGTTGCCATCACCGATGCCAATGGCGTTGACCGCCAAGGTCCAAAGGAAGAAATCTTTGATTACCTTGAGTTTTTGAAGCAAAAGGAAGTCGATGCTGCCCGTATTATTGCAAAGAAATCCAAGCGTGCTCGCGAACTTGAATTCACTGCTGAAAAGAATGAAGAGGTTATCAAACTAGACAAAGTCTCTATTGGCTACCGTGGTCAGGTTGTTTTGGATGAGCTGGAATGGTCTGTCAACAAGGGTGAAAAGTGGCACTTACGTGGTGACAATGGTTCTGGCAAAAGCACTCTTGTTTCTCTTTTGACGGCTGACCACCCTCAGTCTTGGAATTCTAAGATTGTCATCAATGGTGAGCCTCGTGAAACTGGAAAGCACAACTATTTCGACATTAATGACGCCATCGGCCATACCTCTCCTGAAATCCATGCCATTTTCCCTTCCAAATACACTGTTTTTGATTCCATTGCCACTGGCTACATTGTGGGTTCTATGATTCCTCCCAAAAACTTGACCTCAGAACAAACCAAGAACATCAATGACCTGATTGAAGAGTTTGAACTGGACCCCACTGCCAAGCTTTACGATCTTTCATTAAGTGACCAAAAAACTGTTTTATTCTTAAGAAGTGTTGTCAAGAAACCCGATCTTTTGATTCTTGACGAAGCTTTTTCAGCAATGGAGAGCTGGCGCGTCGAGCAATGTAAGGCCTTTATTAACAATTGGTCCGGCACCGTTATTGTGATTGGCCACATTGACGACGAAATTCCAGTGTGCGACAAGTACATTCGTCTGCACCCCAAGGGCGGCAAGCCTGAAGTTGGAGCAATCTCCGAATAATAGTTGTCTTTCGATTTTATCTTTTTTTTTTTGACTAACTATTCGATTATGACAATTTATAAAGAAAAATCATAAAAAAAAACAATCTTTCGGGTGTCCATTACGTTTTATTAAAGGCACTTATTTGTAAGATAGAAGTTACGATAGACCATGATGTAATGACCCATTAATTAATATATATATATACTTTGATGATTAAAGAAATTTTTAACAACAAGAGGGTAATCTATAAAGTTGCAAAAAAAATAAATAACATAAAAAAAAATAACATGTTTGTTTGTTTGTTTTTATTCAAGGGTTATAGAATTATATAACATCAGCATCTGCGCTATCCTTCTTATTCATACTATATATCTTTTCATTTTAATAATAAACTTTTAATTTTGGTTTCAACATTGCATCTCCAACAGCCCGTAAAAAAATAACATTGTTTGTTTGTTTTTATTCAAGGGTTATAGAACTATATAACATCAGCATCTGCGCTATCCTTTTATTGTCTGACTATGTGACTTGCCGGTTTTCATTTGTACCTTTTTAGTACGGGTGGTTTCTGTTCTGTGCGTCTCCGGTAGCCCGGAAGATGGGCCCTGATGCCAGCTTACGAGGAACAGGGAGAACCAGTCTGTCGGTCCCAAAACCTTCCCAACCCATTTCCACTTATCCTCACGGACGCTCGTGTATTTCTTAATCTCTTCAGCCAGAGATACGGCCCGCAATCACCTGCAGGCTATTTAGACTGTACGGAAGAGTCGGCATTCCTGTAACCAGGGTAGCCTGTGGTTTTTTTTTTCAGTCTAGGTGTATACTCCCGTACACATCCTCAGGAAAAGGGGGTATTCTGGGAATCGAACCCAGTATCTTCCGCTATCGAGCGAACGTGTTATCCTTTACACCATCCAGCCCTTTCCCCTAAAATAACATTTAAAATTAGGTAAGCTTAACTTTTAATGCAGAAATGATAAATATTATCATGATTTTACACTTTTAAGTTATATGCCTTGCTAGCTCAATCGGTAGAGCGTGAGACTCTTAATAAGAGTTAATCTCAAGGTTGGGGGTTCGAGCCCCCCGTAGGGCTTAATTTTTTAGTTTTTTAATACTCTTTCTTCATTTGTAGATGTAAGCAACTTTTCTAATGTTGTTTCTCGAGAGAATATATCTATTTCATTTATTATCTTTCTGGTTTTATTTTTCTTACTATAACTTCATCACTTAAATTTAAATAAAGTGGGATATCAACACAATTCTCTTTGCTTTAAAAGAGGTGGCATTTCTCGTAAATTTCAACAATGTCTGGTATGTTCAAGAAAAAAAAAATAATCGTTCCTCTAGGCACACATCTAACATATGCCTACCACTTACCATAAGATTCAAGTGCCTTGACTTTAAACGAGTCTAGAAAAGAATGCGACTCAACGGTTGACACGTTTATTCAAGACCTTATGCTGGTACTCTCGAAAGATTGCGGAGGTGGAAGCAATGGTAGTGAAAGTAAAAATTCCATGGCACTGGCAGCAGATTTATCGCCCAAGATTTGTGACTTGGTCAAGAGTCTTAAGGAATCAATTGTTTACAATACTTTACATGGATCAACAACGTTGGTCAAAAGCAAAGAATTGATGGATCCAACTACTAGTAGTAGTACTACCTCATCGCCACAAACCAAAATTGATACAGGATCGCTGTCACTGTCGCTAGACGACATTGAGCGCGGGGTATGTAACAGCGTCCTAGCACGGCTGGTAGAATCAGAACACATTGTGAATTCCAGTGACCTACTCACATTATCAGATCGGTTTGACAAGAAACTGGCGGAAGCGGCCAAGAACCGAGTGACGGCGGATGATATTGTGATGGTAGATGAGCGGGTTACGGAACTGTCAAAAGTTGTTTTACAAACCATGAACTTGTCGCGGTCGTGCGAGTCACAAATGCAAGTTATGGCCAAACGACTGAAAAGCTTGGAGAAACAGGGAATCCAGAAGGAAAAATCAGCAAGCGATGAGTTGGAGCAGGAATTTGCACAGCGCGAAGTGTCGAGACGTTTAGGAGCACTTGAGAGTGAGTTGAGGGAGCTTGCAGCAAAGATTAGTGCGGCTGGAACTGTGGTGAATGAGGGGGCCGAGTATGAGGAGGAGGAGAAAAAGTTGAAAAAAATGATGGTACAACAAGAAGTTGGGAGCTGTTGTTTGAAAAATTTTAATGAAAGAATGGCAGAGCTTGATGGTTCATTGTTGACTTTACGGGAAAATGTGGACAAGCTATGGAAACACCATGAGGAGGATATTGCAAAGTTGATGAGAGGATATCAGCAACAACAGCCTTTGAGAAACAAGAACAGTTTACCGTTGCCAAATGAAGAAATTTATAATGAGCTGATGAAGGCGTGTGATGCCGATAATTTGGGAGACGACCTGCAGCAAAAGTCAGTTCATGGGAATTCCTACCAGATGTGGATAGTTATGCTTTGGCGACGGATTGGGGAGCTAGAGTCTGAGGTGCGTAACATGAGCTTGCGAGGGCTTGGATCTGGGTCTTCTTCAGTTTCGATGACGGAGGGCGGATACGAAACTTTCCATACTGCTCGGTGTTTAGAGACTGGGAGTTTCCAGAGTGGTTGTGGTAGCGGAGGAAGTAGTTGCAGCCGCAATGGTAGTATTTTGAGCAGTAGTAATAGTAATAGTAATAGTGGTGGAGGCCATTGTTTGGAAAGCTTTAACACGCCACAAACGGAATTTTCTGAGAAAAGTGGGCTCTCCAGTCCGATTGGCAACAATGAGAAAAAGACAAAAGTGGATAAAGAGTTTGGAAATACATTAAGATTAGCTCCCTCACGGCAGGCAAAAAAGAATATCCGGATTCCCGGGGTTAGTGAAGGACAAGGAACTAGAAATGGGTCATTTTCAGGGTCATTAACAGACTTTGAGGATGAATTTTTGTCAGTGTACGAGTTTCCATCTCCATTAGAAATTGGGAAAGTAGTAGGTGTGACTTTACAAAATGAAGGATATAACAAAATGAGCAAACACTCTACAGTAAAAAGTCCTGACCCGAATAAAGATGAGGGGAATGAAGATGACGATGAAGATGAAGATGAATATGACGACGAAGACAAGGAAGATTACGAAAATCAGTGGAAAAGTTATAATGGCGGAAAAATTAGTGCGTCTATGCAGGGAGTCTTACGACTTGACGACAAGCTGAGGTGCTTGCGGTCGACGATTGGGAGAAGTGGTGGGGCCGGGGTTGTGATGGTTGGAGCACCCCGGGAAGTGACCAACATTGGTGGGGTTACTGGAGTGAATCAATTTAAGGCTTATACTGGGGATGGAGATGGAGATGGAGATGTGGATGGAGGGAAAGAAGAGGAAGAGAAAGAGGAAGGGGAAGGGGAAGAAGAAGATAATTATAATAGCACAGCAACGGAATATGGAAGCAATTATACCATATTTAGTGCAGGGAACAATGGAACAAGTATTGGGGGAAGGAACTTTGCAAGTTACTTTGCAACTCCGATGAAACGGCCGACCCCAGTTTATGGGAATGAAAAAGTGTTAGGGTTTTACAAGTATGAATTTTACAAGGATTATACTTCAACCAATCCTTACCAGAAAAGTGTTACTACAAAAATGACAAATAAATATAGACATAGGCTGATGAGACCATTTTTTAAAAAAAGTAGTGGTGTGAATCAGTGAATAGGGAGAAGAAGAAGAAAAAAAGAATTTAAATTTTAAAGTTTTTTTTATTAGAATTTTACTAAATAAAGTAAGAACCGAGTATATACATGGTGAGAGGGAGGATGGGATGAAAAAAATTAAAACAGGGTTCAATAAACAATTGAAAAAAAAAGCAAAATCATAAAAATCGTAACGTCATAAGGTCATTGGCGTTGAAAGAAGAAGAAAAAAAAATAAAAGAACTATAAAGAGAGATAGGAAAGAAAACTTTCTAATCGTCAATCTTTTTAAACTTGTTGCTCAACATCAGCAGAAGTGGGTTCAGCGGTATGGGCAGTGGCTTCAGAAGGTCTAGACTGAGCAGGGGGTGTGGGGAGCTCTTCCTCCTTGGTAGAAGGATAAGCGACAGCTGGGACAGATCTAGGGCCATGGGAAGTGAAGACGCGGTAATCGAAGCCAGAGACACCTTCACCGACAAAGTCAATTGATCTAGAGACAAAGATCTGGTAGAAGGTTCCGATGAGGATGAAGAAGACAATATCAAGGATACCATAGAAGACAGCTTCAGAATCAGGTTGGATGACGTTACCACCTTCAGAAAGAGCCCAAGCAATAGGATAGAGCATAAGAAGGACGATTGCACCGCCAATGATGGCGAAAGAATGGGTTGCAACAGACTTGTCCTGGCTCTGAGCAGCGACTCTGTAGGAGAAGACAAGGTAGTAAACGACAAGGAAGAAACCAGCCAGACCGAAGGTGTAGTAACCCCACTTGTAGGTAGAGTGAATCAGAGTACCAATAAGGAGAGAGACAACGGTGAGTTCTTCGCAAATGATGATGGCGATAGTGTTTGACCAGGTTTCACCAACAAGAACAGCAAAGGAAAGGAAGAATGTAGGGAAGGCAACAAAGTAACTGACCCAACGAGCGTAGAAGATTTGTCTCATACCAGGAGTCTTTGACTGATCACTAGTGGTAACATGGTTAAACTCGGCATGAACAGGGGCCCAACCGAGGTTAGAAGCAAGAGTGAAGTACTGGTAAGAGAGAGCAATGAGACCAAGAGCAATGACATGAAGGAAGGTACGTTGATTCTTAGGCTTAGTGAAGGAGAAACCGAGAACAAGAAGAGTGACCAAGGCAAAGATGGAGAAGACAGACCAAAGCCAATCGGAACCGTGGGTGGTGATATGGAAATCAGCACCGTCAGCGTTGTTAATATTGAGGACTTCGTTACCTCTTTCAAATAGACTTGCTAATGGTGACATTGTTAATGGTTTAATATTTGAGATGATCAATGTTGGATGATATATATTATATTATTATAGATAAGATGAGATTAAATGGTTGTGAATTGAGATATGATTGTTTGATGATGAGAAGAAGAAGAAGAAGAAGAAAAAAAAAAGGAACATTGAGGCCAAGACCTTGACCTTTTATATCTGGGATAACTTAAAAAAAAAAAAAGGGGTAGTAGTAGTAGTAGTAGTAGTAGTAGGATGAGAAAGGAACAAAAAGAATAGATTTGGAATAATAACAGTTGATTTTTTTTTTTTTTTATTTTCGGAAATGAGACCAAGAGAAACCCGTGAGAATATCACGTAAAAAGTCATCAGATCTTTCATTTCCTTTGGTTTGGTTTATTGGTGATTAATTCGGGATTTACCAACCTAGTCATTTAGTTAGTTATTAAGTTAGTTAGTAAATAGTTAGTTACACGAGTGTGGAATTACATAGATTTTTTTTTTTTTATTTTTTTATTTTTTTATTTTTTTATTTTTATTTTTTGTCTGGTGCCGTCAGCCGTTTGCTAAACTTGTTTGGTCCCCATAAAAAAAAAAAAAAAAAAAAAAAATTAAATTCAAGAAGCCCTTTTTTTTTTGCCCAGTTTGCCAAAATAAACCACACATTTGCCCAGAAACACAAAGAGAGAGAAAGAGAGACCCCGACATAAAATTTGAGTACCAGAAAAAAAAAAGATAATACTTAAGCTTATAAGCATATTTATTAGATAGGTTTATTTATATTTCTTTATTTATTTCTTTATTTATTATATGCCATACAAACTAATGATATGGGGAATTTTATTTTTTTTCTTTTTAAACATTGATATCAAAAAAAAAAAAAATTGACTATTCTTTATTTTCTATCATATCTTATTTTTCTTTATTTAAAAAAAAAATAGAATCAAATTTGATTTTTTTATAAAATAAAAATGTCTCAAAATAAAAAAAAAAAAAGAAAAAAATTTATAATATTGAGAGAAATATATAATTATAATTATGTTTTTATTTTATTTTTTTTTTTCTAAAAAATCCTCAACTTGAATATTCCTAACTGACTTTTTTTTTTTTTGCGCAATTTTTCCCGAATCTCCAGAAATTTCTAACGTGATTCTGTCATGTGGTAAGGCTGACTTAACGCACGGCTGTCTACACACCACTTTTTATTTTATTTTTTTACTTTATTTTATTTTTTTTTTTTCCTTTTCTTAATAAAAATTAGACCAACTTTAACAACAACAACAACAACAACAACAGCAACAACAGCAAAGGCCATTTTGAGGAAACGGTTACCGGAGACGGTTTTTTTTTTTTTTTTATTCTTTTAAAGACTATAAGGCTGGAAGGGGGGGTTTTTTTTTTATTTTTTCATATCAAAATTATGATAATCTTTATCTCTTTTTTTTGTTTTTTTTTATTTACTCTTTAAATATAATGATATATATTCTTTATATAAATTACAAATTCTACTTTTAATGGATGTTTGATATTTCAATATGATTAATTATAATTATAATTTTAAAGGAAAAAAACAAACAAACAAATCATTTCTTTGTAAAAAGAACTGGTGACTTTTTTTTTCTCCCTTTAGTGTACTCATAAAAAAAAATAGAAGACGCATCAATATTGGATTTATTTACATATCAATATATATATATATATAGATATATAGATATATACAAATATATACAAATATATATAAAAAAAATTTTTTTTATTCATTTTTTTTAAATTTACTCCTCTGGAAAAGAACCCCTTGGAGGGAGACTTATATAAAAAAAAATTAAAATAAAAAAGGAAAAAGCCGTATAATGCCATGTTGGGCGGCATTTCCCCGGAGTTGGTTCGCTTTTGCTCTTTTCTATCTTTCTTTCTTTCTTCCTATATATATATATATAATTTTTTTTTTATATTTTGCCTTTCGGGGAAGTTTGATTTAGTTTCCCCAGAGATTTAAAAAAAAAAATTCTTTCTTGCCTCGATATTTCTCAGGGGTAAAAAAAAGAATCAAAGGAAAAAGGGAGTATTGCCATGGAAAAAAAAAACATGTGAGGACCTAAATTCAAATGAAGATTTTAATATTGAAAATAAACCCCAAAGTAAGCGTATCAAAAATGTTGAGTTAAAGTAAAAAAAAAAAAAAAAAAAAAAAAAAACTACATAAAAAAAATTTTTTTTCTTTTTTAAATGGTTTTCAACAACAAAATCTCGAGAGAAAAAAAAAAGTGAGAGAGACTTGAAATGAAAAGACATATTATTGTACCCCAGAAAAGCCAAATTAGGTCAAATCAAGTAAAGTAATCATCCCACAGAATTTTTTTTTTTTCTTCTACAATTGAAAATTTGACAGAAAACAACGCAAACTGAAGGTTCTTCCTTTTCTTTTTTCTTAAACTTCTTCTTCTCTGTCACAAATGCTCACACTTTTAATAATCATTGATCTTCATTATGTCATGCCATTTTATTATGAAGTTCAACAATAGATGACTGAATCAATTAAACACTGGTGAAGTTTATATTATCATCATCACAAGTTTGAAACAAAATATATATATATATATAAAAACTTTTTTTTTTTTGAGAGATTTTTATTTTTATTTTTTTTATCAATAATGGTAACACCTTTTTTTTTTTTTTACATCAATATATATCAAAACAATTATTAATGTAGCCTCATATATTTGAAAAAAAAAATCAGTTTGATTTAAAAAAAAAAATTAAATTAAGTCATAAATGTGAAGAAGAAAGGAACTGTTATATCTCAAAAAGTTTTTTCTTTTTTTTTGTAGTTGTAATTGTGGATCATAAAAAAATAAAATAAAAAAAAAAATTAATTTTCTGGAAATCGCAATCTTTAAAATGAACAAGATGGAGATGATGAAGATGTAAAAAAAACGGCGCCACAAAGCCGAGAAATGTTCATTTTTTTTTATTTAAACTGAATTGTTAATAACAAAAGAGAGAGAGAGAGAGAGAGAAAAAAAATTACATAAGCAAACTACATGCGCGAAATAACTATCCCAGTCATATGGATCTGAATAAGCAAACTAACTAAGCAAATCGATGGTTAAAGTAAATATGATTATTATCATGAAGCCTTTTAAAGAAAAAAAAAAAAATTAAAGAATTTCTTCTTTTTGATTCCATGTGATGGACCATGTGGATAAATTATTCAGCAAATATATATATTTACTTTAAAGAATCTAAATTACAACAAATGACGAAAATTAATTTCTAAATTTTATCATTTTTTTTTTTTTTGTTTTTTTTAATTTTCACTTTATCATTTGTTTTAAAAATCCCTCTTTTAACTAGAAAGAAAACAAAAAAAACTAATAAAAGATTAAAAAAAAGACTTTTTTTTTGAATTAGACTTATTTTTATATAATAAATATTTAAAAATCATAATCATAAACAATTTTAAAATCTAAAAAAAAATACTTAAGATTTTATAGCTTTCTTGTTCCAATCTGTTATAATTTGCAAAACATCTAAAGCTACAACAAAAGCTAAGTCCCGCTTAGCTCAGTCGGTAGAGCGTTCGGCTTTTACAATTAAGTGTTAAAATAAACACATGTGAAACCGAAATGTCAAGGGTTCGAGCCCCTTAGTGGGAGATTTCTTTTTAAAAACAGTTTTATTTTATTTTAATTTTTTTTTAGTTTGTAGTGTCTATCACATTTCCTTTATTATCACATTCCTTATCCCCCACTATCTGAGTAAATTTATCTTCTTGTTTAGTCCCAATGATAAAAAAAAAAAACAAAAAAAAACTTGCTCTCTTCAAGAAAATTTTTAAAATTAAAAAAAATTCTCAATTGAGTTTTTTTTTTTTTTTTAAAAAATCTTTAAACGAAAGAAGAAGAAGAAGAAAAAAGAATTATATATTTACTTAATATCTTAATAACTTAATTAATTAATTAAAAAAAAATCCACTCATCTTAACCGTAGTAAAAATACGATCTAAACTAGTTGGAATGTCGCAAAAATCGTTATAAAGAAATTTGCTGTCAATATTCCTAAATATATGGTTTAAAACACAAAAACCTTTCTCAGATGCCCGTCTTTTATTTTTATTTTTATTTTTTTTTTAGTGTAGACCATAATATTTTTTAGTCGATACTACCTGTCCACTCAAAACCCATTAAAGATATTTTTATTTTTTTATTTTTTTTTTGGGGGGGGGGATTTCAATTGCCGTTAATATTTCCTCCTCCTTTTTTTCTTTTAATTTGTTTCTCAACTTCACTTCTCTCTCCCCTCACCTCCTCCCCACATACACTATCTAAGGCTCCACTTTATTTATTTTTTTTTTATTCACTTTGGTGTCATTTTAATTTTAAAATTGTTTTTATTTATAAATAAAAAAAATTAATATAAATATCAAATTAAAAAATACAAAAAATTGTTTGTTTGTTTGTTTTTATTCAAGGGTTATAGAACTATATAACATCAGCATCTGCGCTATCCTTCTTGTCCATACTATATATCTTTTCATTTTAATAATAAACTTTTAATTTTGGCTTCAACATTGCATCTCCAACAGCCCGAAAATAAGTCCTGATGCCAGCTTACGATTGTTTGTTTGTTTGTTTTTATTCAAGGGTTATAGAACTATATAACATCAGCATCTGCGCTATCCTTTTATTGTCTGACTATGTGACTTGCCGGTTTTCATTTGTACCTTTTTAGTACGGGTGGTTTCTGTTCTGTGCGTCTCCGGTAGCCCGGAAGATGGGCCCTGATGCCAGCTTACGAGGAACAGGGAGAACCAGTCTGTCGGTCCCAAAACCTTCCCAACCCATTTCCACTTATCTTCACGGACGCCTGTGTATTTCTTAATCTCTTCCGTCAGAGATACGGCCCGCAATCACCTGCAGGCTATTTAGACTGTACGGAAGAGTCGGCATTCCTGTAACCAGGGTAGCCTATGGTTTTTCAGTCTAGGTGTATACTCCCGTACACATCCTCAGGAAAAGGGGGTATTCTGGGAATCAAACCCAGTATCTTCCGCTTTCGAGCAAACGTGTTATCCTTTACACCATCTAGCCCTTTCCCCTATGCCAGCTTACGAGGAACAAAATACAAAAAAAAATCTTTTGCAACTTTACAATTTAAATTCCAGGGGCCTTTTATTAATTCAATATTAATTGTTTTTCAACAAGTTATTCCTTGTGGCCCAATGGCAAGGCGTTCGCCTACGATCATTAATGGTTACATAGCGAAAGATTCCAGGTTCGACCCCTGGCAGGGAAGCTTGAAAATCTTTTTTTTTTAATTCCGAATTTGATTTTTTTTATTCACCAACCGTTAAACTGCCTTTATAAAAAAAAAAAAAAAAAAGAAAAAAAAAAGCCTTAAATGTAGACTACAATTGCTTACTCAAAACACTCTCATTCACACCCAACATCAGCTCTGCCCAGTCATAATCTTATGCCTAGCAAACCGTGCAAATACTTCCCGAGCATCCGGCGTCACCAATCCTAACCTCTCCAGCGTAGGAAGTTCCTTGGACCCTGGAGCCACTGCATGCCAGTCGCGTGGCCTAGGCTGTAATTCTTGTAATGGGGCAACCTGCTCAAACCATAAACTATTAAACTGCAACCCACGATTGATCCCCACGCTCGTGTCTTCAATATCAAACACTACCTGAGGCCACCGCCCAGCAGGCCGTGCTGCAGCTGCAATTGCCTCTAGTTTGCGCGCACGTCGCTGTGCTTGCCTAATGGCTCGCATCCCTGGGGTTTGCGAAACCGCAGCTGTCATAGTGGCCACAGCAGTTCCGACAGACCCAGAAGTTCTTACCCCCCCTGTAGCCAGCGAAGGAATATGACTTGTCGACAATGAGCTGCTGCCAGGCCGTGCACGAGCCATGGCTGCAAAACTGGTTGCACGACTACGCTCTGTGAAATGTGGAGACTTGGGGGTCGTGGCCCCAGATACTGACGTAGACACCGAGACCGAAAGACTACTATTACCGGCATATGCTGCAGACCCGTGAGCGCCGTACCGCAGTCTCAAAAGTCTACGGTGTGCTCGAGCTCGGGCCGCTGGGTCGTCTGCGGCGGCCACAGCGTCCTCGAAGCTGCGCTCACGTTCAATCTGCGCAAGCTGTCTATGAAGCTGCAAATGGTGATGAAGAGCGTCGTGCGATCCATTGCCACTCACACCTGATGGCGTGCGCGGAAGAGATGACGCGGGGACCACTACTGTGTGCGGGGGGGAAGTAAGTCCTGTCATAGTGCCAACAGACACCCCAGGTATGGGCAACTGCGGAGTAGCTCCACCGCCGGCTGTCGAGGGTTCTGAAACTAGTAGCTCGTCGTCTTCATCATGCATAAAGTAATACCGAAATGATGACGATGACGATGGGTCTGAGGGTTCAGTATTAATATTATTCTGCCGGTGCTCTTCGTTAACATTTGATTGCTGGCTTACAACAACCTCCACCTCTTCCACCTCCTCTTCCACCTCCTCCTCCTCCTCTTCTTCCATATCACTTGGCTCGTCAGCCTCGTCCATATCTTCGTCGCCATCATCGTCACTGGACCCAATCACCCATGCACCCGAAGCCCCATTGCGCACACCTTCTACAACCACAATCCCAGGTGATGGTGGCATCAGAACATCAATCTCGCCTAGGTACATGGTCCCTCCTGCAGTTCTTTCATTCCCTAAGACTCCATGTTGACCGGCTGTAGCAGCGACCGGCGCGTAAGGCTGGAACGCTTGTCGCACATACGGATTTTCTTGGACCATGAACCTGACTGTGTTGAGTGCAAATGCATTACTGGCTCGAAGACTGCAAAGTATTCGGTACCGAAACCCAGGAGCAAGTCGCGTGCGGTGTTGTAACCATAACCAGTGTACCCCACGGGCACGTACACATGTCCCGCTGGCCGGTGCTCCTTGTGCAGGGTCACGTACGACTTGCCAGTGGCACGTGCCAGAGGGAGGTTCTGGTGCACTTGCAGATGGAGTCACTGCAATCGACGGGTCTTCTATGATTTCGATTTCGGCATCTGGCCGCGGCGTTATGATGTGGGACTCATCGAAAAAACATACGTCACGTCGGAACAGAGCCAGAAGAGCTCTGTCGGAGACTCTCGAGGAAGAAGAAGAAGATAATGATGATGACGTTGAATACGAGACTTTTTCCAAAAAGGCGCTAATTACAGGGTCTGAGCGGACCCGCTCGAGTAGAACTGTCTCGTCAAACACTGAGGGTGTGGCAATAGAAGACAGTGAGACTGAAGATTCTGGTGAAGGAGGAGTCGGAGGAGCGGTCCCCGTGGTGGCGGCAGTAGTATTTGCAGATGAAGAAGAAGAAGAAGAAGATTTGGACCTGGGCCGACCACCGTGCGATAAGTAATGGAGCAATAGGTGGCGATCACGAAGCTCTGCGGCTGCATGGAGACGCCGGGACGCTGCTCGCAATTCTGGAGCGTACGCAAAGATGATGAATAGAACATCGTCAGGTAAGTTTTCGATGGCGCTTTTAGGCCGGGACATTTTTTTTTATTTATTATTATTTATTTGAAAAAAAAATCGTATTTTATTAATAATTAATAGACTAACTGATAGGAAAATAGGACTATTTTTTTTTTTTGAGGGTTTTGGATTGTATAAAAAAAGGTTTGAGATTGTTAAGATTGTAGAATAAAAAAAAAAAAAGAGTGTGGGGAAAAAAAGGCCGCTTTTTTTAAAATACTGCGTGTCTTTGTTTGGGAAAATACACAATTGCTGGGGATTTCTCGAGTAATGGACATTAGATAGACTAGTTATTATAATAACATATATATATATATACTTTAATATTTACAAACAAATAAATCACCACCAAAAAATAAAAGCACCCGGTTCATTCACCAAATGTTTACTGGTTCTCCTTCTTGGCCTTCTGGTCCTTTTCGTGCGCCTGCGTCACCAAGTTAAACAACTTCTTAAGGAACCCTGGGTGCTCGCATTTGTTAGATGAGTCTGACGATGAGTCCGTGGCCTCAGTAGCCTCGGCGCCAGCACCACCATCAGCTTTGGGCTCTGGTTTCCATGTCGGGCTCACACGGCGTGCCGTGCTATCTCCAAATGCATCGGCCAGAGCTTCCAGCAGTGCAGTTTGTGTTGCGGTTGTGGGCTTAAGAATGTTGACATTAACCGAAACCTTGTAGTCACCCTTTGCACTATTACCACGGCCAGCAATAGGCAAACCAGCACCATTCACAGTAATCACCATGCCGCTCTGGGCACCCTGAGGAACTTTCAGACGAATCTTCTTCTTGTCCAACATAGGGACCTCGATCGTACCACCAAGCGCAGCAGTGGTAAATGGCACCGTCGTTGTGTAAAGAAGATCAGACTTAGAACGCTGGAACACCTTATGTGGAGCAACCTTAACCCGGACATAAAGGTCACCGCGAATACGCTGAACATTGGCATCAGCAAGCACCTCAGGTGCATCACCACCACCAGCCACGCGCAGACGAGCACCGTCTTGAATACCCGCAGGAATATCAATTGTAACGGTACGTGTGTTGTTAACAACGCCATGGGCATGGCAAGTGCCACACTCAGCGCTCTTGGGAATCACAACACCTGTACCACCACAGGTGCCGCACGTCGACGCCATTTGGAACCCGCCCTGGATCACATGCATTGCGGTACCTGTGCCATGGCACGACGGACACGTCTTACGTTTCTCACCGGTCTTCATGCCGGTACCGTGGCAGGTACCACAGTCGTCCACTGTTGAGTATGAAATAGACTTAGAAGTACCTTGGGCCACATCCTCAAGCGTAATTGTCGTGGCCATTTCAATATCGTCTCCCTTGTAAGCCATGCGCTCGCGTGCAGCTCCGCGACCGCCACCTGACCCGCCTCCACGGCCACGCCCAAAAGCGTCATTAAAAATATCGTGGAAACTAAACGGTCCGGCACTACCACCGCCACCGCCAGCACCAAAACCAAACCCGCCAAACGGATTAAATGGTCCATCACCACCAAACCCAGCGCCTCCTGGGCCGTGACCGCCGCCTCCTGCTGATTGGTCGAATGCAGCCGCGCCAAACTGGTCGTACTTGGCTTTTTGGTCTGCATCAGAGAGAATTTCATATGCAGACTGAATGTCCTGGAACTTTTCGTCAGCACCAGATTCCTTGTTGACATCTGGGTGGTACTTCTTGGCCAGCTGGTAGTATGCCTTTTTGATTTCGCCAGCAGAAGCGCTGTTGCTTACTCCTAGAACCTTGTAAGGATCCTTGAACAGCATCTGGGCGGACGCATGAAACGCGCGAATAGTAGTAGATCTAAATGGATTCATTGGGTATTGCGGTTGTTGCTGCTGCTGCTGCTGAATAAATCGACGGCGCAGAACCGAGCTCCCTCGGCGTAGAGCTGCCGCTGCTAAAGATGAGGGTCTTGAACAGATCATCTTGATTTGAGCGGTTTTTTAATTTTTTTTTTTTTTTTTACTCTAATCTATATGTTTTTGGTAGTTGTGAAAAAATTTTTTTTTTAAAATAGAGCAGCACCCTGCGCTTATATATTTGTTTAGAGGTGGGGGCCATGGAAAATTCTAGTAAGAGCTTTATTATGACAACTTATTGTTCAGTAACAATTTTTTTTTTGACTCATGATATTTTAAATAACTTTGAAAAACTTTTATATTAATATAGACTAAACTATTTGCACTCCATCTCATCACGACTGGGTCGGCATATTCACGGAAGCCTTGGTGGCCAAAGCATCCTCAGCACGCCAGTGAGTAGTCACAGTCTTGTACTGAGTCAGGAAGTAAACACCTGCCTTACCGTAAAAGTTCAAATCTCCAAGGAAGGAACCCTTGTTGCCGGTAAAGGAAAACATGGGGAGAGGTACAGGGATGGGAACGTTAATACCGACCTGGCCAGCCTCGATTTCCTTCTGGAACTTGTAGCCTGTGGACCCGCTCTGGGTAAAAATAGAAGAACCGTTGCCGTATTTGTTCTTGTTGATCAGCTCAATGGCATCGTCAAGAGTGTCAACCTCAACAACAACCAAAACAGGACCGAAAATCTCTTCGTCATATGCACGCATGCCAGGCTTGACTCCAGTAATAACTGTGGGGCCAACAAAGTTGCCATTGGGGAAATCAGGATTGGTGTAATTGCGACCGTCTAGCAGAATGGTTGCGCCGGCACGTTCTGCATCATCGATAATCTCAATGATGCGCTTCTTAGATTGCGGGGTGATTACGGGGCCGACATCGGTGTCCTCCACAAAGCCACCAGAAACCTTAAGGTTGGCTGCCAGCGATGCAATGTCGGATACCCACTCCTTAGCGGAGCTCACCGCAACTAGGGCCGAGAGAGCCATGCAGCGCTGGCCCGCAGCACCAAAAGCGGCACCCACAATCGAGTTAATGGCAAAATTCTTATTGGCATCTGGAAGCAACACGGCGTGGTTTTTGGCACCGAGGTTGGCCTGAACACGCTTGCCATTGGCAGTGCCACGGGTATAAATGTACTTGCCTGCCTTGTCGGAGCCGACAAAGGAAATAGCCTTGATGCGAGGCTCGTCTAAGATGAAATCAACAGTGGGAGCAGAACCGTGAATGACATTGACGACACCTGGGGGGGCACCAGCTTGACGCGCCAAATCGGCAAGAATAAGAGCAGCGCCAGGATCACGCTCAGATGGCTTAAGAATAAGGGTATTACCGGTAGCAATTGTCAGAGGGATAGACCAGAGAGGAATCATAGCAGGGAAGTTAAAGGGGCAGATAGCAGCCACGACACCAAGAGGTTCGCGGTACATTTTAGTTTCCATGTCCTTGGAGACTTCAAGAAACTCTCCAGTGAGCTGAGTGGTAACAGCACAGGCAGTTTCTGCGACCTGAAGACCACGAAGGACATCACCACGGGCATCAGGGAAAGTTTTACCCTGTTCGAGAGTAATGGAAGCTGCGAGCCTGTCCCAGTTTTCACGAATAAGACGAACAAAGTTGAAGGCGATTTGTTGGCGGGAAAGAACTGAAGTGTTACGGAAAGTTTTGAAGGCCTTTTCAGCAGCGTCAACAGCGGCTGTGAGCTCGTCAGAGGTATTTTGCGGGACACGGGTCACAAGATAATTTGTTGCTGGGTCATGGACATCGATCCAGGAGTCGGTATTGGATTGAACAAATGAATTGTTAACATAGTAGGGAGTGTCTGCGGGATTGGCAATCTTGTCGTGGGATTTGACGAAGGATGCGACAGAACGGGCTCCACAAAAGTGGGTTGATAACCGCGTCATTCTGCGGGAAGTTTGAGCAATGAGAGCAGCTCTGTTCATTGTGAATGATTTGAATAGAAATGAAGAATAGAAAGAGAAAGAGAAAAGATATATAATTAATATAAAGGGTGAGTTAAAGAAGGGGGAAAGAATATGTATTTTTTTTTTTGAAAAAAAGTTTAAGAAATTTAGGAGCGTTTGGAGATCCTTTTATAGCACAACTTTTACAATCTTGTGGGGAAAAAAAAAAGCCCCGGTGGGGGATTTTTAATTAGGTCTCTTCATAACCACTACCACGCCATAATACAAGAGAAATCACTTTGCTCAGCGTCAAAAGAGGCGCTTTTTTGCCAAAAACATCTGGCTTTGTTGATTACCCGCCGATGTGCACTCCGATGGGGGCCAAATGCAAGTGACTGTTAATTTTTAATTTTCACCTACAAAAAAAAAATAAAAAAAAAAACTGGCAACCCCCCGCGGGTGGCCATGAGAAGGTTTATATACGGTGGAGCGGACAGGTGCTCCAAAGCTTCTCTCCACTTCTCTTCAAAACCGGCGGTGGTAACAGCGGAAAGGGAGGAATGGGAGGGGAGGGGGTAAATAGAGAGGAAGTGGGGTGTCTCATAGTTTTGAAAAGTCATTTCGGAGAGATGTTTTGGTCACGCCGGAACACTCTTTTTTTAAATGTTTAAAATAAAAAAAAAAAAAGAATGACCCTCTTTCTTAGATCTGAACAATGTATTCAAAGGCCGTTATGGCCTAAAGTTCTGCTGACATTTTGGGGAAGGGACCGTATTCCTAATGAGACCGAATCAGCCTACCGCTGTCACGGTCACCGAGGTATGTTTGGCTGTGTGGGTGACCAGCTGAGTGGAGGAAAGAATTATAAACAAATATATTAACTACTACTTTAAAGACCAATGAAGAAATATATATCAAGGTAGTCTTGAGAATCCGTTTTGATGTGCCGGATACAAGTACCGGGTTGAAGGGCGGGTTTTTTTGTGGGGGAATTTTTCAACGTAGCCATTCGTGTTTGTCTGTGGGGTAGACAGACAAGTCCTTTTTATTTTTTTTACCAGTGATGGTCGGTTACAAGCGGTAAAAAGTAGATTTTAACTTTGTTAAATTTTAACTATGCTTTATTTTAACTCTGTTACATTTTAAATTTTGTTACAACCTTAAATTTAAATTTAATTTTAATTTTAATTTTAATTTTTTTTTTAATTACAATTTTTTTTTTGGGAGGTTTGTCATTGCCGCATTCTTTTATTTCTGGCCACTCAGAGCGCACTACAACTCTTACCCTAACCCTCTCAGACTCTGTTTTCTTTGGCTGGCTAACTGACTGGCTGGCAAACTGGCTGGCGGACTAGCTGGCTGGCTGGTCTGAAATCTGCGCTTCCCACCCAACCGCCCAACCAAACGAATTTTTTTTTTTCTCTCCTCTCAGCCACCACCACCACCACCACCATCATCATCATCATCCCCTTCAACACCACCCTCTCTTTCCATCTCCACATCCACAATGATCGCCGCTGTTCTCCGTGTCGCTGCTGTATGTCTTCTGCTGATTCTCTAAATGCAGACCAAATAGTTCGAAAAATCTCAATGTCTTTACACTTTTTAAATATTCAATTTGTCATTTGTGCTGCGCGTGTATAACACATACCTACTACTACTCTCTCAATGTTCAACAGCTATGTAAAAAAAAAATTATGCCTCCTTCACAACACTGAAAAAAAAAAGGTGTAAACCTCCGCAAACCACCGTATTTTCCCTACTATTCTCACACCTCATTGGTCAAATTTTTCCTACAAAAAAAATTCCAGCCCATACATCTTTCAACAACAACCAAAGACTAAAATACCCCCATCAGTCAATGAACTAGACTTATATTAATATATATAAGATACCCTCAATGTGACAATTGATTGTACAGAAATCTAAAAAGACAATTCATTTGAAACTATTTGGTCTTCATTTTTCTTCATTATAAAAACTCATGTACTAACCCTCTTCTCTAGCGCAGAGCCCCCGTCGTCGTCGCTAGACGTGCCATGTCTGTCTCCGCTGTCAGATGCAACCTTATCCAGGACCTTTATGTCAAGGAAATCAAGGGCTACAAGGCTCCTCCTCTTACTGTCGCTGACGCTCAGGGTTCTGTCAAGCCTTGGGTCTCCCCCTCTGCCCCTGCTCCCCCCGCCGTTGAGGGTGATGTTGCCGCTGACCTTGCTGCCTACGAGTCTTCCACCGTTGAGGTTGAGTCCCACGCTCCCGTTGCTGAGGGTGCTGAGCCTGTTGTTGAGGACTGGTTCGTCATTGAGCCCGCTCATGACCTCCACCACTAAGCTGGTCATTTTCTCTCATTGACATGCTAAATCTCTTTCTCTCTCTCTCTCTCTCTCATTAAACTCTTCTCTTCATCCATAATACCTCTCCCTTGTTTTTTTTACTACTATTAAATATTTACTCTTTTGTTTTGTAATTCTCCCTCTCTCTCCCGTTGACGTCTTGTTATGAATATTAAAAAAAAATCTATTCCCTAGAGTATGACGACTTACACTATACAAAAAGAAAAACAAATGAATCGTAATTAAAAAAAAAATCAAAAAGAAGCTTGTATTCAGAATCTTTTGAAAGTGATACTATAATTGTAAACAACATCTTACATGGATTCTCTTTAATTTAAAATTAAAAATAAATAAAAATAATTTCTTCTACTTTTTTTAAAAATAATAAAAAGATAACGACACCAGCAGGACTCGAACCTGCGCGGGAAATCCCAAAAGATTTCTAATCTTTCGCCTTAACCGCTCGGCCATAGTGCCAATTTTTCTTGAATATAAAACCATTTTAAGATAATTGACAAGACTAAAATAAATTGAGATATTTTTAATTAAAAATTGAGATGCTTTTAAAACTAATTGTTTAAATGATTTATAAATTTATATTAAGATCTTAATACTTTAAAGTATTAATTGTAATTTTTCTTTATATTCTTATTATATGGTGAGTTACATTGACAAACATCTTGCACCCTCATTTTTAAATTTATAAACTTTAATTTATACATGAAAAAAAAATTAAAAAAATGACGATATTATGACTGAACCATTAAAAAACTATTAATAAATAAACAAAAAAACAATAAGCATTCAATTCCTAATATCAAATTAACTCTATTACTGTTATTTGATCAAAATCAATAATTATTGCGAAACTTGGTTGACATAAACCCCCTTATATGGCTATGCCTACAACTTAATACCAATATTCACTGTAATAGCCTTCTTCACTGAATAAATATCTAATCCATATTCTCCAAGCTCCGTGCCAATACCACTCATACCAAACCCACCAAACGGAACCTTGGGTGATTCCAGATTAGCACTATTCACCCACACTGTTCCTGCTCGAAACGCACGTGCCACCCGAAGACTTCGTGCAATGCTGCCAGAAAACACACCGGCTGCAAGCCCATACGTTGTGTCATTGGCACGAGCAATAGCCTCCTCTTCAGTCTTAAACTTCCCCACACAAACTACAGGCCCAAAAATCTCCTCGCGAACTATAGTCATATTGTCCTCAACGTCGGCAAAAATCGTGGGCTCAACATAAAACCCCTTTCCAGAAACTGCATGCCCTCCAAGAACAACCCGGGCACCTTCTTCCTTACCCTTTTCAATGTACGACAAAACACGCTGCTGTTGTACGGCCGAAACCTGTGGACCGTGAGTCACTGTGTCATCAAAAACATCTCCAACCTTGGACTCTTTAATCGTTTGCTCCTTGAGAGCTTCCACAAACTTGTCGTATATACTCTCTTGCACATAAATACGCGAGGTCGCAGAACAATTCTGACCCATGTTGCTCATGATACCATTATGTGCCCATTTGACCGCCTCTTGAAAGTCGCAATCCTCGAATACAAGTAACGGAGACTTGCCACCGCACTCCAAAGTCAAGTTCTTGAGAGTTTCGGCACACATCTTCATCACAAGTGAACCAGTCACAGTAGACCCAGTAAACGCAATTTTATCCACATCCGGGTGTGTACAAAGCGCCGATCCAGCAACAGAGCCATACCCGTTGATTATGTTAATAACACCTGGAGGGAACCCAGCTTCCACAATTAACTTGGCAACGTAAAGCACAGACAATGGGGTATTTTCCGCAAGTTTTAGAACAATTACATTCCCTGCAGCAATGGCAGGCCCGATTTTCCAAGACGCCATGCCCAAAGGATAGTTCCATGGGATAATTTGTCCGCAAACGCCATGTGGTTCGTGTACCACATACGCAAACTTTTCAGGGTCATTTTCGCACACAGTCCCGCTTCGCTTATCAGCCCATCCTGCAAAGTATCGAAACAAGTGAACTGTGCTTTGAACGTCTCCCAGTGCATTCTGGGCTCGCGGTTTCCCTGAATCTGCAGCTTCAATTGCAGATAAAAGTTCCGCATCCCTTTCCACTAGATCTGCTAGTTTGTACAGCAGTCGCGAAATGTCATCGACACTATAGTTCTTCCAAACAGTAGTAAATACCTTTCGTGCAGCTTTTACAGCCAAGTCAACGTCAGTAGCATCAGCTGCATATACTTGTACAATTTCCTCCTCGGTCGCAGGATTAATTACCTTGATGGTTTCGCCTTTGGTGGACTGCACAAACTCATTGTTTATGAAAAGACCCGTTGGTTGGATATACTCGACTCCATTGGGAAGTTTTACGGTAGATGATGTAGTCATTGTGGTTATCTAGAATGATAATTGGAGAAACAGGTGAGAGTGAGAAACGAGAATGGTAATGGAAAAAAAAATTTAATGGTCACACAAATTATTCATATCAAACTCCATCAGCATTTCCCCGGGTTAGAGTACATTTGTGGCTCAACCCATTTTTATCATTCTGAACTTCCCGTTATCCAAAATAAAATAATCAGGCAAGCAACCTCATTAAAAAGCTACTCATCAAAACAGGTAAGCTAAAATATTTGAAAAACTCTTCTTTTTAAAAGTGATCTTTAAGGACTTCTTGACACTTGTCAATCAATTGAGCAAGATATATTACCCTTGGATCTTCATTTTGTGGCTTGGAAACGGTTCTCCATAGCACGGCACCACCCTTAATTTTATTAGCTCGGGTTTCGGAGTTCTCAGAAGTAAACTTTTAACACAGATCATTGTTTTCTTTATGCCTAGGTTTTATTAACAAAATGATTACATTACAAACGACCACTATTGTTTTATTTGTTTTTTTATTTAAATACAAATCTATAAAAACACATATATATACCAGGTTTCATTTTATAATCGAAACCTAATATACCTTTACTTTCATTTGATCTGGACATGAAAATCATATATTCCTTAAGAATCTTACTTGGCTTAATGTAAAATTTCAATCCAGTGCTTTAAAAAAATAAACTTTCAACATGATGACTCAGTTTGATCTGAGCGGACTATTACTGCAAACTTTTTTTTAAAGCTTTGCAACTTTTACAACATTTTCAAAGAAATTATTTAAAATCTTATCAACGTTTACCACATCTTCAAAGAGATTGCTTTCAAAAACCCCTAAATTTTATAACATCTTCATAAAAATTGCTTTTAAATACTTTTTTAAGTTCACAACATTTTAAAAGAAATTACTTTTTTCAAAATCATTATACCCACAAGATTCTAAATTTCTATCTTTCTAAAATAAATTGAGCTCTGAAAATAAACTAAAATATTAAGTTGATTATATTCATTCGAAAGCTCTTCTTATGATCTTTTAGTTGAATCTCACAGATTTATAATAGGATTATAAATAAACAAGTAATTGGCCGAATTTGTATATGAGTAAAGAAATTTACAAGCCAAATCATGAAACTCTTAATTACCTTTTGAAGTAAAAGCAAGTTGTTTAAAAGATTACCAAGTTTCACCACATTTTTAAAGAAATTGCTTTTAAAAACCCCTAAAGTTTATAACATCGTCTGCCTTTAAAGCTTTCCAAAGTTTACAACATCTTTAACGAAATTACTTTTTTTAAAGTAATTATACCTACAAGATTCTAAATTATTATCTTTCTAAAATAAATTGAGCTCTAAAGATGAGCCAAAATATCAAGTTGATTATATTCATTCGAAAGCTCTCCATATGATCTTTTATTTGAGTCTTTCAGATTTATAATAGGGTCATAAATAAACAAGTAATTGACTGAAGATGTATACAACTAAGAAAATCCACAAACCAGATCATAAATTTATTTTATCTTTTTAAAGTAAAAGCAATCGATCTTTTTTTTTCAAAGTAAAAGCAAGCAAACTTCTGATTTTTTTTTTCACAAAATCTATGTTATGATATTTTAATAAGTGGATATAAATTAAGGGCTTTCCCCCCAACTTTTCAATTTTTTTTTCTTTCTTCTTACCATTCACTTTCCTTCTTATTCATATTCAGACACCTATTCTATCATATTGCACTTTTTTTTATCACTTTTTTTCTTTTTTTTATTATATATATGCCACTTCCCACCTATCCCTACCCCTATCTCTATATCTCTAGACTTATACTTATACATATCCCTTTTGGTTATCAGATACCCGTTCCTTGTTATAGTATCATCCGTCACTCTTTTCTTTATATTCAGACATCCTCTTTTCCCAAAGGCCTATCTACCACAGCTGCTTCTAAACAATTCTATTTAAGTCCAAATGGTTCTTTTACCGGAGAGGCTGACACTCTAGAGGTATTAGAATCTAATTGGTGTGATTGTTGGGGTTGTGCAATCGTCTAATTAACTAAGCTTATTTTATTTTTTTGCTTGGAAGCCTGGAAAACTTCAGTAGCATTAGGATTTAGTTGGTGTAGTAAATAAGATCATATTTTTATTCAAAATTGAATGTTTCTTTTACCTGGGAGACTGACACTCCAACGGTATTAGAATCTAATTTGTGTGGTTGTTGGGGTTGTGCAATTATCTAATAAACTAAGCCGGTTTAATTTTTTTGCTTGGAAGCCTGGAAACTTCAGTAGCATTAGGATTTAGTTGGTGTAGTAAATAAGATCATATTTTTATTCGAAATTGAATGTTTCTTTTACCTGGGAGACTGACACTCCAACGGTATTAGAATCTAATTTGTGTGGTTGTTGGGGTTGTGCAATTATCTAATAAACTAAGCCGGTTTAATTCTTTTGTTTGGAAGCCTGGAAAACTTCAGTAACATTAGGATTTAATTTGTTTAGTAAATAATATCATATTGTTATTTAAACTTAAGTGATTCTTTTACCTGGGAGACTGACACTCCTGGGGAATTAGTATCTTGGTAGTATCGCTAACGGGAGCTTTTTTGTTATTTTGGCTATCTTTGATCATCTTTGATTTTTTTGTCCTTTTTTTTTGTTTATTTTGGGGTTTGTGTTTTCTTCAAAATGGGTTTTTATATTGACGCTTCTTCTAAAATTTAGTAAGTACTATAGATAATGGTAAAAAAAATTTTACATACTAACATTAAATAGATTACGATTATTATATTTGCTATATCATTTTCTTGCAAGCTGGTTTACATCTTGAGAATCAGCTCCGGTCAAAACTAAGTCAAGTCCATTCACATCCTCGGTCTCAGTTTACTTTCTCGCATATACCTTAAGACCCTAGCCCTTTTCCATGACTTCTCATTCAGACTTTCTCGGGCCCATGGTATTTTTCTCACATGCGTCGGTCCAAATTCTGGCCCTTGCACCAGTTAACTATAATGTCCTTGCTGATTGACCGTGTCCCAGTTGTGCTAATCCCATGTCGATAACCCAAACCCCTTGTCTACGATTGTTCAGGTCCAATGTATCCTTGCTGGCTAACTCTTGGCTTAATTTTGGACTCATGTTAATGTTTATGCAGTTGTCCAAGTCTCGGTCAACTTGACGTCTTTGATGTTGACCCAAGCCCGTTTCTATAATATCTATGCCTTCTCAGGTCCAAGATGCCTTTGTTAATGGCCAATGTCCTTGTTTTGTTAAAGCCTTAGTTGTCACTCAGATTCCGACATCCATTGACGTCTTTGATGTTGACCCAAACTATTTTCTATAATGTCTCATCTATTCTTTCTCAAGTCCTGATCCAAGTTGGTTTTTGCAGTAAACCCAAGCTCTGGTTAACTGTGATGTCCTTGTTGATGAAGCCTTTCCCATTTTTGCTGATCCCATGTTGACAACTCGAGCCTCTTGTCCATGTTTGCTTAAGCCAAAAGTATCCTTGTGAAGCAACAATTGGTTTAACTTCCGACTCAAGTTAATGACCATGCAGTTATCTATACAGTTGTCCAAGTCTCGGTCAACCTTCATGTCTTTGTTTTTTTGAGGCCCAAGTTGTTGTTTACTCAAATTCTGACACTCATTGAAGCCTTGGATGTCTCATCTGTGCTTTCTCAAATCCAAGATATCTTTTCTGCACATGTACTGGTTCAATTTCAGATCCAGGTTGATGTTTGTGCTTGACCCAATCCCCATTTAAGATTGATTCCCTTGCTGATTAACCGTGTCTTTATTATGCTAAGCCCATGTTGACAATCCGAGCCTCTTGTCCATGCTTTCTCAAGTCTAATGTATCTTTGCTAACCAGTTCTTGGTTCAGGTCTTAGTCAAAGTTGACTTCTATGCAGTTAATCCTGATCCCGGTTAACTGTTTTTTTTTGTTCAAAATCTATCTCCGTTGTGGCAATTCCCTTTTTGATGGTCCAAGGTCTGACTGATGATTTATGATACTTTACCAATGCTCTCCCTGGTCTGATATGCTTTCACTGCAAATTTACTGGTCCAAATACCAATCTAAATTGATGTTTAGACAGTTGGCCTAATTTTTCCGGTCAATGGTGATGTTCCCTCATTCAAGGTATTTTTACAACCCCATGCACCAGTTTAAGTTTCAAGTTAATGTCTATGGTTGACCAAGGTCCACTCGACTCTGATGTCCCTTTTCATGGACTAAGCCCTTATTTATGATGTATTATTGTTCTGTTTTTACGACCCATACAGCGATTTGAGTCCCGATTCAAGTTGATTTTTATGCACTTAGCCTGAATGCTGGTCAAATATTACGTCCTTGTCGGTGCTCTATACCTTTTCCCATTATGTGTTATCTATGTTGACTGGAGTCCGTCATGCGTTTGGCGTAAAAGTTCTGGCTTAAGTCCCGATTGAAGTTGATTTCTAAGCATTCAACCTGTCCTGGTCAATTCCCCTTGTTTATTATCCGAGTTCTGTCCATTATTGTTTGCATCTAAGATGCAATTGCTCATGCTTTAGTCTAGGTTGACGTCTATGCAGTTGGCTCAAGTTTTGGCCGACTATGATGTCCTTGTTGATTACCAGAGTCTCGTTGTGTGTCGACATTGAAGCTGACCCGCATCTCTTTTTTTTTTCTTTTTTTTTATTACTTCCCAGTACCTTGTTTTATGGTAGTCTGTGCCGGTAGTTGTCTCTGTCTGTTCATTATGGTATCTTTAACCTCGGTTCTTGTTTAGAAAAGTGGCTTTCGTTTTTTTTTTCTACCTTGAAATTTATTATCCTTTTTGGTAGATTGACAATGAAGAATCAATCTTTGCAGACCTAGATTTTAAGCAGACCACGTTTCAATTTAAGACCCGGCCTTGCAACCCAGACTATATTCTTATATATATAGGTCCTTGCTATTTTTTTTTGGGGGGGTCCCCTGTTTTACACTGATGCTTTTGTGAAGATCCAAGTTCTATTTTTTCTGCAGATCTCTTTTTCTTCCTTGGTATTCCTGACCGTGGTTTACGGTTTCGACTGTTACTTCATGACTATATGGAATGCTTATCATTGAAAAAAGAAATATTCAAACTAAAATTATTATAAACTTATGAAACGACATTCCAAAAAAAAAAACAGCAATTGGCTTGGTATTCATTGGGAACTTCAGTAATTTTCCATATGACGTGATCCTTGTCAATAATCTTTTTTAGGTGAACTTTTTGTGGCCTTAGTTAAACGCATGATAACTTTTGCTCTCGGTTGCATAAGAATGGTGGGTTTTTTGTGTAGAAGTTTAGTTGGAAATAGCTTCTTCTTTAGGCTTAATACTTGTTTCCAAAGAATTATCAGAAGATCTAGGCTTCTTAGCTAATGGAGTTTGTTGGGAAGAAGAAGCTTTGCGTTTTTTGATTTCTGAAGCAATGGGTTCAGATTACTCTTTCTTTACATTGATGAATTGCTCATTCACAAAGATTTTGGCCATCTCAATTACTCTTTTGGCATCTGCATTAGTAGGGGAAGAAAAAAAATCGAAAGATATAAGAGCATCTGAAGCAGCATCTTTAGGGGAGCTTCCATTTACCATTGCGCTAAAGAAATCAGCCATGAGAGCTGATCTTCTTACGTCTGTGAAGGTAGGGGGCGACGCCGTTGGGGTAGGCAAAATTTCCGCCCCTTCTTTCATATTGTGAGGCCATTTTGTGGTGCATGGCAGCCTTTTCCCAGATTTCTGCAAGGTCTAGGTTTTTCCAAGGATATCCTCGATTACTAGCTTTAGGAGTTTGTTGAGATTTCCGAGGTTTTTGAGACTTCTGAGACACATTGTTTTCATTTTTCACAAGTTGGGTAGGAGTAGAGCCAGAAGGCTCATTGGATGCACCTTGTTCCCCCACATGGCCAGCACTGTTTGCGGAAGAAGTAGAAGTGCTCACTACGACGGCTTTGTTCTCTGTAGAAGATTGCGTCTGCGCGCTGTCAGCTTGTAAAGAGTGATTCTCTATAACAACGGGCTCATTTGAATTAGGAGAGTCATTGGTTTTAGAAGGCTCAGAAACTGAAGATGTAGCTGGTATAACAGGTTTCTGAGAAGTTTCTGTAGTGGATTCTTTAGTAGACAAAGAACTAACCTCGTCAGAACGTTCTGGTTAGCTTTAAACAGGCGGATCTTTTGGGTCGGCAGAAGAAGTTGTAGTTGAATTGACTAGAGAATCGGACATTTTTTCAAGTGATTATGAATACCAATGGTGTTTGGATTGTATATTTGCGAGTTGTGTGTTGTGAGTTGAACTTTTTGGAGTGCATTTAAGTAAACAAAAGATTAACTGATTGGAGGGGGTGTGAGTGTGGGGAGGGCAAAAATAGCAGCCGGAAAAAGAAATTTTCATAAAAAAAAAAAAAAAGTAAACAACAACACATACCGACCATCACCATCAAAATGCAACAATGCAAAAAAAATAAAATTGTCCTTTTCGTCCCTTTCGTCCTTTTAATATTCAGATCTTGAATCTTTTATTTAAATTGGATTTTAACAAAACTAAAATGTAAAAAATTTATACTATTTGTTTGTTTGTTTGTTTGTTTGTTTTTTTTTGTCTTTATTCAAGGATTATCGAAGTGTATTGACATCACCATCAACACTACCCTTTTAATTGCCAAACTTTGGCCATTTGTCATCTAGTATTTGTGACTTTACAATCCAGGTCGTTTTAAGCTTTGCACCCCAGATAACTAGGAATATGGATCTTGATACCAGTTTACGATAAACAGGGAGAACCAGTTTGTTTATTTGTTTGTTTCAAACCCATCTGACCCATTCCAACTTGTCTTCAAGGATGTCCGTGTATTTCTTAATCCCTTTCTTCAGAAATACGGCCCACAATTACATGGAAGTCAATCCAATGCTCTTTCAAGTTAAAATGCTATATTTATTGTTGATCTAACTAAACCCATTATTCTTAAAATTGCAAATTGTTTGTTTGTTTGTTTTTATTCAAGGGTTATAGAACTATATAACATCAGCATCTGCGCTATCCTTCTTGTCCATACTATATACCTTTTCATTTTAATAATAAACTTTTAATTTTGGTTTCAACATTGCATCTCCAACAGCCCGAAAATAAGTCCTGATGCCAGCTTACAAGGAACAGGGGGTTAAAAATAACCAAACCTTCCCAACTTATCTCCACTTGTCTTCATCAACGCTGTAATTGTATTTCTTAATCCCTCCAAGCAGAGATAAAGCTTACAATCTCTTGTAAGCCAGTTAAACTGTTTAAGAGAGTCGACATGTCCATCTCTGGAGATATCCGTTTGAGTCCTTTTCTTTCCTCTTCAAGCAAAGGACACTCAACTAAAATGTGATGAACTGTTTCCAGCTCTCCACATTTGCAGTTGTAACTATCCTTTTCAATCCCAAACTTTTTAAACCATGCGCCAAAATTGCCATGGCCTGTGCGAAACTGAGTAATATTACTCAAGATCCTTCGACTATCTTTCTTCATGATCACTCCCGTAACCATTTTGGAAAGATTATCAGTACATTTCGACTCCACTGTGATATTATGATACCACAGATCCTTACTACTGTTCCAATACATTTCTTGCCATTCTTCCATTGCTTGTTTCTTCAAAATCCCAATCGTCTGATTTTGTTGTTGTTTCAGTGTAAGAGGTTCAACTCTCTTGCATTTTCGTTTTTCACCCTTTTTAATCATGTAGTCTCTATCATCTTTCGCCAACATGTAAAGCGTGGTTAGCTTTGCAATTGGAGATTTCTCAATCAATGTTAACAAATGACCATTAATAGGATTAGTTTTGCTAATATTTAGGTGTAAACGAATAGCTTTTCGTGCCACCATAAATTTTAGCCTAATACTATATGGCATAATACCAGCTTCCTTTTGTAATACCGCAATAGGAGTTGTGCGATAAGCACCAACAATTCTTCTTAAAGCCATGTTCTGCATCACTTCCAACTTGTGGATTTCTCCTTTCAAGACTTTATGATGCCAAATTTCTAAGCCATATTCGACAATTGGTCTCACGCAAGCAATATACAGTGATCTGACTGCAGACCCCCGCATACCTTTTTGCACGCCACCAAGATGCCAAATAGCACCAACAGCTTTTCTTGCTTTATTGATTTTGTTCAAAATATGAGATTTAAAATCAAGCAGATTGTTCAAAGTAATTCCAAGCAATTTAACTTCCTTCTGGGGTTCACGAAGTTCTCCATTAAGTAAAGTAAGTTGCACTTTCTCATCTTTAGGTTTCACATTTTTTGTAAAATGAATGAAACCCAATTTATCACCCAAATCAATTTTGGTCATTCTTGATTTAGCCCAATTACAACATTTTTCTAATATGTTGCTTAAGCTTTTGGTATTTTCTTCAATTTTACCTTCAACGGTAATAGTCACATCATCAATAAAGCCAAAAGGAGTTCCACCCCATTCTTTAATGGCATGATACATTGGTGTGGAATATATCAAAAAAAGTAGTGGTGAAATAGGTGAGCCTTGCGGAATTCCAGTACTAATTTTTTGCACTGATCCTTTTCTTCGGTCCATGAGCATACTTAAAAATTGCTTGTTTGTTTGTTTGTTTTTATTCAAGGGTTATAGAACTATATAACATCAGCATCTGCGCTATCCTTTTATTGTCTGACTATGTGACTTGCCGGTTTTCATTTGTACCTTTTTAGTACGGGTGGTTTCTGTTCTGTGCGTCTCCGGTAGCCCGGAAGATGGGCCCTGATGCCAGCTTACGAGGAACAGGGAGAACCAGTCTGTCGGTCCCAAAACCTTCCCAACCCATTTCCACTTATCTTCACGGACGCCCGTGTATTTCTTAATCTCTTCCGCCAGAGATACGGCCCGCAATCACCTGCAGGCTATTTAGACTGTACGGAAGAGTCGGCATTCCTGTAACCAGGGTAGCCTATGGTTTTCAGTCTAGGTGTATACTCCCGTACACATCCTCAGGAAAAGGGGGTATTCTGGGAATCGAACCCAGTATCTTCCGCTTTCGAGCGAACGTGTTATCCTTTACACCATCCAGCCCTTTCCCCATTACTTAAAAATTGCAAATTTTGAAAAAAAATTTAAAGTTAATTCTTTTCGCATTTGAAGTAACGGTCTTTACTACAAAACCAACAACAACTTCTTCTCTCGATAGCTCAGTTGGTAGAGCGCGGGACTGTAATGGCTCATTGTAATCCTGAGGCCGCGTGTTCGACTCACGCTCGGGAGATAACTTTTTTGCATGTTTTTAAACTTTAAGATTAATTTTTTTATTGATTTATTGAATTATTTTTAAATATTTTCAATAAATACATTAGATTTGATGCTTAATTTTTTAAAATTAATGTTGAGTATGTTTTGGGTTTTTTCAAGTGGGAGTGATTTATTTGTGTGAAGAATGGAAATAAATGGAATTTTTTTTTTTTAGATTCTTATGGGAGCTATTTAATGGTTGTATCATAAACTCTTCTGATTCTTATCTTTATAGAAAGGAAAAAAAAAAGTTTCTCACCATCTAAAGCCAATCCACCAACTTTTTTTTTTTTAATACATTTACTGCCATATCAACATCAACATCAGCAATATACTCTTTACATATCAAAATGTCTAAAGCTACCGTCACATTCGTCACTGGCAACGCAAATAAGTTGCGTGAGGTTCAGCAAATTCTTGGGGCTGAGGGGATTGGCAAAGCGATTGTTAACCAAAAGGTTGATTTAGAGGAAGTTCAGGGCACTCTTAACGATGTGACAATTGCCAAAACCCGCAAAGCCGCAGAAATTGTGAGTTAAAATATAACGTTTAAGGGAAAAAAAAGGTGTCTAACTGGATTCAGATTAACGGTCCTGTGCTTGTGGAAGATACTGGTCTTGAGTTTAATGGTCTCAAGGGTCTTCCTGGTCCTTACATGTGAGTATATGCAATGACTAAATAAACCCATTAATTTTTTTTTATTCGTTTATACTAATTTGGGAAATTTTTTTTTTTTTTTTTTTTTTTTTACAGTAAATGGTTTTTGGAAAGTTTGGGAAATCAAGGACTTTACGACATGTTGTACAAGTTTGAGGACAAGACTGGGCGTGCTATTTGCACTTTTGGATTCAGTGAGGGCCCTGGGAGCGAAGTTTTATTATTCCAAGGCATTGTTGATGGGACAATTGTGTCGCCGCGAGGACCCAAAGATTCCAGCAAACCTGTGTTTGGCTGGAACCCAATCTTTGAGCCTAAGGGGTATACGGAGACTTATGCAGAGATGGATGGAGAGCAAAAGAATGCAATTTCACACCGGTACGTTGCGCTTATGAAGCTCAAGGAATTTCTTGAAAAGCGTGCTGAGAGTGCTTAAATAAAGAAGCCAAAAAAAAAAAAAAAAAAAAGAAACAAGTTATAATATATAGACATGGTGATAGAAATAAACAAAAAACAAAAAAACAAAAAAACCAAATACCGTTCCAATTATTTATCTTCATTATTAGAATCCCAGTGCTTGCGCCACTCAACCACACGCTCAACATTGGATTCGAGATCTTCGATTGTATCACTTTGAAGTTCAATGACTATATTTTCGTCATATGAGTCTCTGGCTTCATCCAAAATAATTTGCATTATTTCTGCATCCATATTTTCGTCGCGCTTATTTTCAGGGTATTTTCTTTCGACGTAACGGTCGTAGAGCAAGTTGGTACTTGTTCTCAGCACAAGTACAAGGTCAATCAACCGTTCAGGGAAAATATCACAAACGTGCCAGTCAATCACTAGCCCTCCGGCTTCCAGTTCTTCCTCAATCGCATCAAGAAGTTTTTCCTCATCAACAATACTACTCTGACGTTCCTCGTCGTACCCAACAATACAGTCCCGGGCCTTGGCCACATCGTTGATCGGGTAGTATTTGAGGTCTGGCATTTGCTCAGCAATTTGCTGTGCATGGGAAGTTTTTCCTGTACCCTGGGAATGAGTTAGAGATAGAAATGATTAATGAAAAAAAAAAAGGGTTTCATTGCTACTACGTACGGGAGTACCGGTCACAATAATGTTGGGTTTTCTTTGGGCCATTTTTTTTTTTTGTATGCTTATTCAGTATGTGATGAGCTTATGGGTTGAAGCTTTGGAGTAAAAATTTTTTTTTTTTACCTTCATTGTATGATAAGGCTAATAAAAATTACATAAGCAAGAGAAAATTAATTTTTAACATGTGGGTTTTAATAATTAAATTCTGAAGCAAGTTTTTCATCATTTTTTCAAATACAAAATAAATCTATTTTTTTTATTTCCATTTTAGTTATTTAATGTTTTTTTTTTTTTTTAAATATTAAAATTTTTTTTTTAAATTATTTTTGGAGTATATTTTTTTTTTTTTTCAAGAAGAGTAATCCCGTAAATTTTATAACGAGAGGATAAAAATCACAAAAAAAAAATCATAAAAATTGATAAAAGGGGGGTCATTAGAGAAAAAAAAATTCGTTTCAGTTCATATCTAGGCATCATTAGTCTCCAAGAAGAAGTAATTACCAGAAGCCTTTTGCTCCTGGTCCATTTGAGAGCCAAGCTTGTTAATTCTGGGTCTGAAAGACACAGGATCACGTCTAAAGGTAATGTTAAGGTTCTTCAAGAAGCGGTTGCAACCGGTGAGAAGAGACTCTGGAGGCTTAGCAAAAGACTTGACGGAAGGAGTACCCTCAAAGACAATGACACTATCAGCAAGGTATGTGGCCATGATGAAATCGTGCTCGACAATGAAGGCAGTCTTCTTAGCGTGGAGAATGAAGCGACGAATGACCTTGGCGCAGATGATACGCTGCTCAGAGTCAAGGTAGGCAGAGGGCTCGTCGATAAGGTAAATATCAGCGGGCTTACCAAGAGCCAGAACAATGGCGACACGCTGCAACTCACCACCAGAGAGATGCTGGACTTCTTGGTCAATGATATTGTCAATTTTCAAAGGCTTAACAACATCAGTTTGGAACTGAGGATGCAAGAAAGAAGCACGGATCTTCTTGAAGAAGAGCTGTCTGACAGTACCTGTAAACTTGGGGGCAATAGTTTGGGGCTTGAAACTGACGTTAAGGGAAGGAATCTTCTTGCCATTGTCTGGGGCGATCATACCAGCGAGAAGACGACAGAAGGTGGTTTTACCAGTACCGTTTTCACCCATCATGACGATGATTTCAGAGTCATTGAACTGACCCTTTTCAACATTAAGTTGGAAATCGCCCTGGGTTCTGGACATGGAGGGGTAAGAGAAACTGCGAGCCTTATCAATGAGGATATTATCCGAGGCATCAACCATGCGGAACTGAAGAGACTCTGTGCGGAAACGCATGTTTTCTGTGGGAATATGACCATCCAAGAAGATATTGATACCTTCACGGACAGAGGAGGGGAGGGTGACGATACCGTAGACCGAGGGGACACCGTAAAGAATACAGACAAAGTCTGAGAGGTAATCGAGAACAGATAAATCGTGCTCGACAACAATGACGTAAACGGAGGGTTCGAGAAGTTCACGGATAACGGTGGCTGCGTTGAGACGTTGCTTAACATCGAGATAGGAAGAAGGTTCATCAAACATGTAAACATCTGCCTTTTGGATACAAGAGAGACCAATGGCGAAACGCTGAAGCTCACCACCGGAGAGTTGAGGAAGCTCACGCTTCATGATACCCTTGAGTTCGAGAATTTTGAGGATATTATCGTAGGAAGCTTCTCTTTGTTTTTTAGCTTCAAGGAGCTCATGGACGAGTTTGACGGAACCTTTGAGACCCTTGGGGATGTTGTCAACGTATTGGGGCTTGATGATTGCACGAAGGTTATCTTCCAAAAGCTTTGTAAAGTAGTTTTGGAGTTCAGATCCTCTAAAGTGGACGAGGATATCGTGCCAGGATGGAGGGTCGTCATATTTACCGAGGTTTGGCTTTTCTCTGTTTGCGAGGATTCTAAGAGCAGTTGACTTGCCAATACCGTTTGTGCCGACAAGACCGAGAACCTGGCCTGGACGAGGGGTAGGAAGTCTGTGAAGCTTGAAGGAGTTTGCTGAGTATCTGTGGGTGACTTGAGATTCAAGATCGGTAGGGAGGTTGATGATGGTGATAGCATCAAAGGGGCATTTTTTAACACAGATACCACAACCGATACACAGGTTTTCCGAGATGAAGCAGATTTTAGACTCTGGAGTGACTTCGATACAGAGCTTACCTGTTCTGACGACTGGACAGGCTTTCTTGCACTCTTGTCTGCATTTCTATAGAGATGATTGTTAGATTTGATTGATAATAATGATTGGTAAGGATTTGTTTTATAAATAGAAAGATAGATAGAAAGATAGATATATATACCTTTGGCTTGCACTTATCTGTGCTGACGATAGCAATTCTGTATGAAGAGTTAGATCTGAGAGATAACTGATGGATGAATGATGGTTATAAATATGGGCACATACCTTGTATTTGAGGTCGACATTGTGCTACTTTACTGTTATGGGTAGAGTGTAAGAAATTGATTGCCTGTGTTGTGAGAAAAAAAAAAAAAAAAAAAGGAGGAGGAAAAAAATTTTTTTTTTTATGGTGTGTATGTAGTTTATTAGTAAAAATAAAAATGTACTGGTAAGTAACAACAGCCGTTTCAACAAGGGCTTTTAATGGGAGTTATTATAAGATATTAATGAAATTGAAGTTATTATTATTATTATTATTTTTTTTTTTGAGCTTTAAAAAGTTTGCTTTTATTTAAATCAATTACGAATCAACAAAGAGAAATTGTATTTACTGGTTTTTTTTATAATAAGAAAATTTTTACTATAAGATTAAAAAAAAAAAAATTCTAAAAGTATTTCTTTTCAAAATGGTTTATTAAAAACTTTTTGTGATCTTCTCAATAAAATATCAGTGGGGTTCTTAACCATTTATTTATTTATTTATTTATTTTTACCACCAGTAATAAAAAAAAATAAATAAAAATAAAAAAAATTTTCCATGCTGGATGCTGCATTGTCTGCGTAGATTTAAGTCTGAAGTCAGCACCTTTGAGGCTGTTGCTACTGGCCAGCTGGCATACACAACAACAAGGCTGGAATAATTGTTACACAAATGTGTGTTACAAAAATTGTAATTAAAATAAATAAACATATATATATATTCCCAAAAATACAACGATTGAAAAATATTACATAATAAAGTAGTCATTTAGCCGCGTTTAAATGTTTATTTTCCCCTAACCCTTTAAACTCCGGGCAGAAGGGCCGTGTAATTTCTTTTTTTTTTTTTTTGAAGTCAAATACATTAATAAAAATACATATAATTATATGTAAATGAGTCAGTTATCCTGGCAAGCGGTTTCGGCGCTATCACGTGATTAAAATACTACCCGTTTTGTTAGTGGTCCCGGGATTTTTAATAAAAAAAATTTTTTTCTCCGCTCTTTTTTTTTTTTAGGAACCCACAATAAAAAATTAAAAATAAAAAAAATAAAAAAATAAAAAACTTTCTTAAAAAGCAAACTAAAAAAAAAAAAATAAAAAAAAAAAAAAACTTCTCTTCTTTCCTTCTCTTTTTTTCTTCCTTTTTCTTTTTTAGAAAAAAAAAAAAAAAAATTCCAGAAATTCACCTTCTTCTATTTTTTATATCCTAGGTCCTTTCTAGCCAGGTTTAAAAAACCCCCCTCCACCCCTCCTCACAATGTTAAGATCAACATCTGCTCGCGCTCTGCGCCCAATCATCGCAAAGAGAGCTTTCATCTCTGCAAACAGATTTACTATCGCTACTGCTGCTGCCCCTGCTCTGACCAGATGCATTTCGTCCACATCCAACAAGAAGTCCAACAGTGCTGCTGCAACCGCCACTGCTCCTTCTGCGTATGTCTTTTCATGCAAATAATCAATCGCCAATGTTTAAAACTAACATTAACATTTTCTTGTAGTTCTCGTCCCGAGCCTGCTCCTTCTTTTAACACTGTCGAGGGTCCTACTGAGGGTGTCCGTGTCAATACCCCTAACACTGCCATGGATGATTCGTAAGTTTTAATCAAATGAGTGATTCTAACAGGGATAAAAGGGGTTTCTTTTTTTTTTTTTTGATTTATGAAAATTCTATTCTGGCTACGACTGATGATTTTATTTTATTTTGACCAAAATATCAAAAATATATTTGAAATGATTTGATTTTTAACATGGTGTGACTCTTTTTTTTTTTTTTTTTTTTGATTGGATTTTCAACATGATTGGTTTTTTAACACGATTTTTTTTTTTATTTTTAAAAAAATCCAAAAGTGCAGTCACTCAGTCAGCCATCAACAAATACCACCAAAAAAAAAATTTTTTTTTTTCTTTTTCTTTTTTTGTCTTGCCTTGTGAAAAAAAAAATTATATATACAAAAACAACAAACCTTCATTTTCTCCCCCCCCCCCTCCCCGCTTTTCCCATTGTGACTCATATTTTCTCTATGAACTAACATGATACTCTTAGATTCATTGGTCTCACTGGTGGCCAGATCTTCCACGAAATGATGCTTCGCCACAATGTCGACACCGTCTTCGGTTACTCGGGTGGTGCCATTCTCCCCGTTTTCGACGGTATCTACAACTCCCCACACTTCAAGTTCATCATGCCCAGACACGAACAAGGTGCTGGCCACATGGCTGAGGGTTATGCTAAGGCCACCGGCAAACCTGGTGTTGTCATCGTCACCTCCGGTCCTGGTGCCACTAACGTCATCACTCCCATGCAAGATGCTCTTTCTGACGGTATCCCCATGGTTGTTTTCACTGGCCAGGTTTCCACCGCCGCCATTGGTACTGATGCCTTCCAAGAAGCAGACGTTGTCGGTATCTCCCGCTCTTGCACAAAGTGGAACGTCATGGTCAAGAATATTGCTGAGCTACCCCGCCGCATCAATGAGGCCTTTGAAATCGCCACATCAGGTCGCCCAGGCCCCGTTCTTGTTGATCTTCCCAAGGACGTCACTTCGGCTGTTCTTCGTGATGCCATCCCCACTGCTTCTACCATTCCTTCTCAATCTATTCAAAACCTGGCTGCTTCCGCCGTTTCTGAATTCCAGAGCGAATCCATCCAGCGTGCTGCCGAACTCATTAACAAGGCCAAGAAGCCCATTCTTTACGTTGGTAACGGTATCATGAACTCTGAAGAAGGCCCCGTTCTTTTACGCCAGCTCGCCCAAAAGGCCCAAATCCCCGTCACCACAACTCTTCATGGTCTGGGTTCTTTTGATGAAACTGACGACAAGTCTCTCCGCATGCTTGGTATGCACGGTGCTGGCTACGCAAACATGGCCATGCAAAATGCTGATGTTATCATTGCCCTCGGTGCTCGCTTTGACGAGCGTGTCACTGGCAACATTGCCAAGTTTGCTCCCGCTGCTCGTCTTGCTGCTCTTGAAAAGCGCGGTGGTATCGTCCATTTTGAAATTCTTCCTAAAAATATCAACAAGGTTGTTCAGGCCACTGAGGCCGTTGAAGGTGATGTCTCTCAAAACCTTGCCAAACTCCTTCCCCTCATTGAGACTGTCAAGGAAAGACCCGAGTGGCTCGGCAAGGTTGCTGAGTGGAAGGCCAAGTACCCCTTCGACTATGAGCGCGATGTCCCTGGCTCTGGCGAACCCGTCAAGCCCCAAACTGTCATTACTAAACTTTCTGAGCTCTGCGAGCCCATTAAGGACAAGGTTATCATGACCACTGGTGTCGGCCAACATCAAATGTGGGCTGCCCAATTTTTCAAGTTCAAGTACCCCCGCAGTATGATTTCTTCGGGTGGTCTGGGTACCATGGGTTTTGGTCTCCCCGCTGCTATTGGTGCCAAGGCTGGTTCCCCTGACGCCATTGTCATTGACATTGATGGTGACGCTTCCTTCAACATGACTCTGGCCGAGCTGTCGTGTGCTGTCCAGTATGGCATCAATGTTAAGGCCATTGTTCTCAACAATGAAGAGCAAGGTATGGTTACCCAATGGCAATCTCTCTTCTACGATGATAGATATGCCCACACTCACCAAAAGAACCCTGACTTTATGAAGCTCGCTGATGCTATGGGTCTTAAGGGTATTCGCATCCACAACTACGAGGAGCTCGAGGGTGGCTTAAAAGAAATGCTTGACTACAACCAAGGCCCCGTCCTTGTTGAGGTCATTGTTGACCAAAAGGTCCCTGTCCTGCCAATGATTGCTGCCGGCAAGGGTCTTGATGAGTTTTTGGTTTACAACAAGGAGGTCGAGCTTGAGCGGAAAAAGCTTCGTCGTGAGAGAGCCGAGCGCAACCGGAAAAAGGCTGAGGCTGCTGCTGCTGCCTGGGAGTCAAGTTCCAACAAATAAACTTTTTAAAAGGACTTGTATATGATGATTATGATGATGACTGATGAAAGAAGATTTAAAAATTTAGGATTAACTATTTTGAAAAGAGAAAAAAAATCATTATAATAAAAATTTCTCACTCTTTATAAAAACTGTTTGTATAAAAAAAAATTCCACTTTGTTATTACTTGTACTATTTTCCAGATTTATCTTTCCCCGCAAAATTGCAATTAACGTGTGCTTTAGGCCTATTTATTTATTACGTTGCATGACCTAAGTGGGGAAGGGCAAAAAAATAAAAAAAATTACTAAGAACATCACCCTCGGCTTTTAAGGACCTTTCTTTCTTTTTTTTTTTTCTTTTGAAGTTGTAATAGTAGTAATGATCTCCGTGGACCACAAGAGTCAATTATCATCATCATTGTAGTTGAGGAAAAGAAAAAAAAAGGCCTTTTCAAAACGTCTTTTTTTTTTTGCTCAAAATTTAAGTAACTTATGTGGTGGTAACCTCGAGATCAAGATTTGGTATTTCCATTAACCATAATCGGACTTGACCGAAATCAAGTTACCAAATTTGGCATTCTTATTTTTGGTTTCTGATTGCTGGTTTATTTGAGGATCTTATTATATATATATATAGAACAGTGACTAGTGATTTATATTTTATAAATTAATTAAAATATTAATGCGTATCTAACCGTTGTCATATACTCATTGAGCTAAGGTAATTGGAAATAGTTTGGAAATACCTCAAACTGAATGAGGTACTCTTCTTCATTATTGTGAAAAATAAGCCACAGAAGCAACAATAAGGATATATATATATATATATTCATTTCAAATAAAAAAAAATATTAATGTAGATATATATAAATAAGTAGCCAAAAATTGAGAGAAAAAAAAATTAAAACAATTCATTTCTGATTGTCATGATATCACAGAATGCGTCATCGACAGATAACAAATAGAATCGACAACATTTTGCTGTTACATTTAAAAAAAAAAAACAATTAATAATAATGATCAAAAAAAATATAAATCCATATACAATTAAGAAAAATATTCTAAGGTATTATTTTCTTATTGAGTTGTTCAAAGAAAGCTGCTACACTTAAAAATTAAGTCATTCGTTTCACAACTATATTTATCAATCAAACATAACTCATAGTAATTCTATAACTTTGTTTCCTTTGCTGCTACTACTGATCATTATAACTCACACTTGGAAATCATATTACTGTAATCCTAAAGTCCCCAAAAAAGGATGTATGGTATCTTTTCAAATAAATAAAGAAATAAGAGGCTCCACTGGCCAGGTCCCAGGTCCCAGGCACAATGAGCCTCAGAGGAAAAACTCTGGCTTGTAATGAAAAAAAAAACAAAATAATAATAAGAGGTATATACACAGGCATGGAAAATTCTCAAGACAACAGGTATCTACATGCACTTTTGTGTCCCTCCCCCTTCATTTTCAGCTGATTCATTGAATACGCTTATATATTGAGGCTTTGCAGTCTGCAGGTATGAGACATACTTGCTAAATCACTTTTTCACAAGTGTTAAGTTTAAATAAGAAAAATAAATTTTTAACAGCAGATTTTAACATAGAATTTCTTTTTTATTTATTCCGAAAAAAAAAAAAAGAAAGAAAGTCATTAGTAGATAACTAACACATGGCCTCAAAAAAATAATAGTTAATTAAAATGAAAAAAAAAATGGAGAAAGGAAATCTTTTTTTTAACAGTTATTTGAATTTAGTATATCCAAATGCATGAATAAAAAGGTACAATCAATGCTTATTTAGGAAAGTCTTATTATTGCTTTTAAAAGAGGAGAATAAAGAATAAACGGGAATTGCTTATTAAAAAAAAAAAAAAAAAAAAAAAAAAAAAAAAGACTTTTTTTCTCATTAAACAAACTTGTTTGTAAGCAAATCGACATATATGATATAAGCCCTTTTGATGTATCAAATAATGATGCACAGTTGCAGGTGGTGCACCGATAATTTGGCAAACCCCTTTAGTGAAACATTTGATTATAGGAAAAATAAAAGTGTATCTACTTTTTTTTTTTTTTTTTTTCCAGTTGTTATTATAATTTGTCTAAAAAAAAAAAGGGATCATATAAGTTTGTGTGATAATTTACTTTAGTGAGTTATGGGTATCCGGAAAATGAATAGAATCAGAAAACAACTGTAATTACAGTGTAAGGTATAGTTGAGGTTTTTTCTTTTTTTTTTTTTTAAATTAGTAGGATAAAAAGAAAAAGAAACAAACGGGATAAATTGATAATAGAAAAAAAAAGTAATGAAAAGAAGAAAAGTCTAGAAACAAAACCTTTTATTATAACTCACTATATATCCTTTCTTTCTTTTCTCTCTTCCTCCCCCTTTTTTTTTTTTTTTCTTTTTAGACCCGAATTCTCTATCAGGTCGAGACTTTAATGCAAAGTGTAATGGAATACGACCCGATAAGCTCGACTATTAAAAAAGAAAAACAAAAGAGTTCTATTATTAGGCTTGTAACTTGTATTAATTTCAAAAATTTCAAAGTATTTTATTATCTCCAGGTCAACCGATAAGTCATATCATATTTGAAAATTAATATAGTTTGCATTCTTTTTATACTTAATATAACTTGATTAATAAAAGTTGCTTGAGTTCAGCAACTCTAGCTTATTTTTTTTTTTTACTTTTTCATTTCAATTATCAGAACTGGCCAGTTGGCAAAAAAAATATTAATCGTAGTAACTTGTTAAGAAAGTTATTTACTTATTTTTTTTTAACTTGCCCAAAAAAAAAAAAAATTGGTAATTAAAGTTATTGTCAAGGTAACGATAAATTTTTTTTAAAAAAAAAAAAGAAAAAAATTTATGGGCGTTAAAGGAAAAAAAAAACGAGTATCCAATTAAAAAAAAAAAGTGAGGCCTGAAAACAGGAAATGAGTCTTTTAAGTGGTATAGTAATTGTTTATAAGTTTGGGTTGTCTCTATTATGAGTCTCTTTAATTTGATTTGAATATTGCTTTATGATATCTCAGTAATACTGATGATTACTTGTAAGCAACAGCATGAACCAATTATTTAAAGCAACAGGTTATGCGCATCTCATGAAATAAAAAAATAGCATAGTATAAGCTCTTTCCTATAGCCTTGGCTTTGCCAAGTTACTCATTCAATTTAAAAACATACTGAAGGGTCCTAATAATGTCTTTCTTTAATGGTTGTTATAGTACTATCCCCAATATACACTCGAAACTTTCAAGTGTACACATACCTTTAGTAAATCTCTGCAATTTTTTTTTCACATTGTTTGTTGGCATGTATATAGCTAGCATCTCAGGTTTCAAAGAAAGAAAAAAAAACAAAAGAACAAACGGGAAGAAGAAACATTGGTGAGACAGCGTACGGGATCCAGGCGGGTTGATAATTTATCTAAGCGCAAGTTACCCTGGACTACTCGTAGTTAAAATGAACTTTCTAGCTTAAACTTTTTCTTCTAATCTTATCGAGAAAAGAACATGTTAAGAGCGATATTTTTATAAAAAAAAAGAAAAAAAAACCGCATGAAAAGATTTTAAATTTTATCAAGATCTTGTACTCTAGAATGATAGTGAAATAATTGAAGCAAAAGTAAAGTAAAAAACGTGCAACATCTTTGCATGCGCACAATGCCATCAGGTCTTTTATTTTTCATACCTAATTGATAATAGATAATAGAGTCAAAAAATAAAAAAGATTTCTGAAACTCTATTTATGGCGAATCAAAGGATAAGAATGGCGGAAGATGTATGAAGTATAGGCAAAAAATGTTAATTAAAACTTCTGTTTTTTTTTTTTTTTTTTTTTTTTTTTTGGTTTTTTTCAAATGAAGTTATATTGAAAATCAATTGAAATTCATTTTCCAAGAACAAAAAAAATATAAAAAAGAAATGTATCAAAATATTGATCAAATTTTATTCATTTTTTTTTCCGGCGGACCCTCGGAGCAATGCACTTTTCCAGGTATATATCAGAGCAAATATCAAATTCTAGAAAGATAAGAAGATGTACCTACCTGTATACAAAGTTTTTGATAATCACGGCTCATTTTTTTTTTCATTTGCTTTTCATTAAAGTTCTTAGACAAAAATAAATGGAGAAAAAATAAAAAGCTCATCAAGGTTACTAGTATAGTAGCTCATACACATCTTCAGAGACAAACAAACAAACAACAAAAAGAAAAAGAAACAAACAAGAATATCACGCATAGAATGTTTTTTTTTCATTATTAAATTATTTTAAAATAGAATATCAGAAAATAGTCTGGTGCATGGATCGAGAAGCGTTTTTAAGGCAGTCTTCTAAGCAATATAAAAAAATATGAGGTTATTATAGTAATAATATTAACAACCACTATCTGCAATTAAAAGGTATCGCATAAACTAAAATTAACCGTGTTGATATGGCGTGTGATATCGTCATTATGATTGATGGTAGTAAAGTTACTATTACAGTGCAAATCGTCAACTAATGGAAAAACAACATATTTTTTGTGTTTGTTATAATATCTAATATGCTACTATTGAAAACAAAAAAGAGGGGAAACTGATAATCGTATCAAAGGATTATCTTTTTCATCTTTTTTTAATAAAATGAAGATGAAGATGACGATAAAAATTAATTTATGTGTTTTGTGGGTATTTTGTTGAAATGACAGCCTCAAAAAACATTTCTTTTTTTTTTTTGGAGCCGACAGGTGCAGATCCACTATAACGAAAGTAGTCTGGGGGAAAATGTGAAAACCAGCCCAACTGTCGATTTTTTTAGTGAAAAAAAAGGAAAGTTTTGACGAAATTATGGTGTCATCAGTGTTTTATCGAACATAAGACAAAAATAACAAAAATAACAAAAAATGGTTAATCTTTGTTGTTATTGCTATTGATTGACAAAAAAAAAGAGATAATATGGGCAACTAACATTAGAGAGTAGTTTGAAAGTGTCGTCATCTAATGTGTAGATAAATAAACAGGGTCTTGTTACGA